GAGTATACAAGATGTCACATGCTAACTCCTACCTGGGTAGTATGCACTAACCTCCTATTCCTGCTACACATTTTTTGTTTTTCATGAGAATTAACATGATTAGTTGCAAATGAAGTTCATGCATTCATAAATCTACATCTAAAGCACATACAATACCAAGAGAAGGGAGACAAATGGAAAACTCGAGGATTCTCGAGCTCTTCACAGTGATGCTCCTCTTCTTTATATCGTTTCATATGTTTGCGATTGATGTTGATGGAACAACACCATGGAGATTGTTTTAGTTCTATTACCTTCTTACCCTTCGTCGTCGTAGTCTTCTTCCTCTTCTACGATGGTTGAGTTGAACTGTGCAAAGTGAAGTGGGTCGACAGCCATCCTGTCGATTTCAGAAAGCACAGTGCCCTCGCTGTCTTTAACATCGGGAGGCGTAGATAGCGAGGAACAGGCAGCTGCTGTTGCTGCACACGTAATGTTCGGTTTCTCAGCACTCTCGTCTGAGCTGATGTTGGGATTGATATTTTTGATGGCTGATTTGTCGCCACCATCTGTTGCATTAGGATCCTGTCTCGGTGGTTCCTTTGACTCGAGACAGGTTTCCTTCATCATCCCAGGGTTCGGGTTCGGGTTCGGGTTCTGGGTACAACTATGCTGAATAGAAGCACAGGAATCAGATTCAACGTCATGATGATGAGCAGGCTGAGGCTCCCTATCAGCACGAGCCGCACGCCCACGGCCCCTTCCTCTACCCCTACCTCTTCCCCTGCTTGGAGGGCATGTTTCCTGCACTAATTGATTGTTATTAAACTGTGGAAATCAAATTTAGAATACTGGAAACAGTGTTTGTCTATGTGATGTCTCAGCATTGAATATTAATATCAATAAGCAAAAACCCCAACCAGCTTGGTTGGGGTGAGTGGCCGTGCACTCTTGTCCCTTAAGAGAGGTCGGGAGTTTGAACCACTCCCCCCCCCCCCCCCCCCTTCTCGTATGGAAAAACCAATCTGGTCAGCACTTTGCCCCTTAATTGGGCCGGCCCGGTGCGAACGGGGATTAGTCTGAGTATGGTACAGGCTTAAAGGTGACTCCTGGACACCTCGTGGTCTAACCAAAAAAAATAAGCAAAAACCGCAATTCTCTGATGGTATGATTCCAATCCTACAAGGTCTAAACATCACAATATTCAAAAAAAAAAAATATCAAAATAAGTTCTATAAACTACCTATGTCCACAAGAACATTACAAACTAAACTGGTCTCTAATAAGGAGGCAGAAAATTTTGAATACTAATTCTCGAAGGAAGGCAACTAATTACTTTTAGACAATTGGATCAGTTTTTTATTGAAGTGGCTCAATCTAAGCCATGAACAGGAGATGGTCGTTTATGTTTGATGCAAATAATTGCTTTAACAGTTTATCCCTGAAATATTTTCAATATCAAACATCATGGTATTTAAGTTACAAGAATCTAATAGACTGTATTACCGTCCTGCTCCTTTTGGACTCGTCATCACTGTCATTAAGTTCATCCATTGCAACTTTCCTGGTAAAAATGTAGTGTTTTTATTTAGCATGAAATGTTGCCGAACTAAATAGGAGTAACATACTGGAGTAGAATATTACGATTAGACAAAGAGAGAATAGTGTGTTTACCTTCGTCTTGACACCTCAGCGCCAGTATCAGAATGGCCATAGTCAGGGACCTTGCTAACAACTTCTCTCAAAAAGTCAAAAACATTGTAGCTCTGCACACAGTGTTTTCTGCATAGATACACGGAATATGAATAGCTAAACATAACATTATAGCTAGAATACAATCATAAATTTTCCACTTCCAGCTTTATCAATTGAGAACATACAAGCTATAAACCCTAGCGGTTAGGGCAATATGACTATAGGGAGGCATTAGAACGGGTAAAATACAGCATTAGGATAAAAACCCGCAACCCCTTCTCCTTCCTTTAAATTAGTTATCAATTTCAAGCAATGTTGAAAAAATCGCTAGGCTCCCTCTAGGCGCCTGGGGACCGCCTAGGGCGCCTAGAGCGCCTAGGAGGCCGACCGCCTAGCGCCTAATCGGCGCCTAGGCGCGATTTTTGCAACACTGATTTCAAGGCACTAAAAGGCTAGTCACCTATCTGAAATGCTTCAAGCACAACGTGAATTCCAAACTCTCATTATTCCATCAGATTTGCCAAACTCCATACTTGTTACGTACATAACAACAAAGTAAATTGATTTCCAAAACAAGGCATCACAGCCAAAAAAGTAGTTTGAGGGAACAATATATCATCAACATCAAACTCCCTTCACTCTTGAGTTGGAAATACCAATTCACTAGATTAACCATCTACTCAAAGATAACACTTTTATTTGCCAGGAAGATGACACAGCATTAACTGCAATATAGCTTTATGATTTACATGCACAAATAAAGGTATACACCTATGGGACTTGTGTATAATTTAAGGTTCCTGGCAATCCACATTTGACAACAAAATTCAAAAAAACACTAAAATGCTAGTCCTGCAAGATATTAACACACTTAGTTCTTCTTTTTTTTTTGAGAAACGTAACACACTTAGTTCTAGTGTGTCTTTTTAGAGCAATACTGTCATTGAGGAAAGTACGGTCAAGCCAGAGAAAAAACAAACTCTATTTTTTTTTTTTTGCATAAATTGAAACAATAGCTCTAAATTTTGGACTCAATCAGTCATCTTCTCTTATCAGATGGTTCCATCCTTTTTCTGTATTGCACATATTGTAACCTCCAGCCCAACCCCTTATTAATGCCACAAACAAACATTTAAGAAATTAAATTTATTTATTAAAAAAAAAACAAACATAGTCAAGTTCCTAAGCAGCAGCTTAATCACACTATTCAACTGTATTTGTGAACTAAGAATCCTAAGTTACTTAGTACAGGATCCAATACCGATTTCCTGTTAATTGCACATTACTAAATTAGCAGCACAAAAGCATACAAAAATAATTATGACAGTTAATAATTGCAAATGAAAGTAAAAATGCGACAATCTCCTAAATCTAGACACACACACACACACACACAAAAAAAAGAGTCAAGAACGAATTTCACTCACAAATGCAATGCACTGACAGTTTTTGCTCCTCTTCTAAGAGTTATGTCATATGTCCTATCACAGAGGTCTTGCAAAAATAACTCCAAGGCTTTAGCTGCATTGATGTTCCAGGACAAAATAAGTGAGAGGATACTAAATGTAATAATAATAATATTTATTATAATAATAATAATTAAAAAAATAAAATAAAATTTAAAAAAAAAAAAAAACCCTAAAGACAAGCAAACTAGTACATGACAAGGAAGGTGAATGAGGAGGGAACTATTAAATAAAATAAAAGCATTAACTCATTGATAGAAACTTACATACTAAAACAGGCACTGCCATTGCAATCTTTCCAACATCCTCATCAGCTTGCATAATTTTCTTGATCCGAGCCTAAGCAATTTTTTTTTTCATTTTTTGTAACAAAAATAAACAGAAGATACATCAACTATAGATATGACATAAGAATATAACATAATTCAAACAATCATGCACTTCGTAAATTAATGCACTGAACTCAGCTCTAGTGCACAACCTAAACGATTAGATCTCCTAAAAGTAATTCTTATAATTGTTCTTAGAATTAGATAGGAGGTTCAACCTGATTTTCCAAAACCTAATATCTGTGGTGCAGAAAGCATGCAATCTCCCATTCCTAATCCCCTCAAATACAATAACAACACGATTACAAATTTTCCTGTTAACTTAGGACCACAAAACTTGTAACTTTACCAATTATCTAATATTAAACCCCAAGAAGATGTTTTAAAAAAAATGTTGTCATAAGCTACTGCTTAGTAAGCTAAAAAAAGTTGAACTGTGCTAATTGTATGACAAAAAAAGCATAATATTTTCTGTAAATTCATATACCCTACTGCTTACTACCAAAAGTTTCGAACTTTACCTAGAAATAGCCATTGACTAAAGCTTGGTAGAACAAAATCCGAAAATTACCCCAATTCAGAATCCAAAAAAGAATAATCATTTCGAAATGTTTAGAGAGAGGAGGACTTACTGCAGGGAAGCGGGTATCGAGTTTCTTCTTCATGGTACAATCACGATTATGTTGATACCATCAAAGAAAGCTTTTGAAATTCGGAGAAGAAAGAATCTGAGTACAAAGCACTGAAGCAGTACTAAGAATCTATGAAAGAAATTAAAATATGATGATAATTTAGAGAATCGAAATCTGAAAAACTCTAATAATCTGCTCCGAGAGGAAGAGAAGAGGGAGAGAGAGAGAGAGAGTAGCTTGAACCGGAGCGGTCTCGGATCCTATCCGATCTGTTATCGCGGAAACGGATCTTCGAACAGGTAAAAAGGAAGAATAAACGATTAATGATATAAAGGAAAATTGCCAATTGGCCCTCCAACTTTTACCCCAACTAAAATTAAACAACAAAACTTTAAAATTGGAGACGCGGGGATAGAACCAGAAAAATGGAGATGCGGGGTATCGATCCCCGTACCTCTCGCATGCTAAGCGAGCGCTCTACCATCTGAGCTACATCCCCTACGTCTTTCACTTCCATATCCTATTTTATTGAACCTTCTTCAAGTTTGACTTTCAACCTGTAAACATTTTTAGTTTCAGCCAATTAGCTACCAGCAAAACAACCTAAGCCTATGCCGGTTTTCCTCAATTTGTTCTTTTGTTTACTCAATACACACCCTCGTGAAAGTTCATTAATTTTACGTATTTTTAAAACATTCATTCCCATTATAAGGTTATACACAACCAAATATCAATATTAATAGTCATTTCAATTTCACCGTACTACCAAACAGACAAAATACTTTCACCAAAACACAGTATCATTATCAAGTATTTGATTCTGATTCCAATCCGATTCCAATTCCTATGTGCGAACCAAACACACCCAAAATAAAACACCAATCAAAGAAGATGGTTTGGAAGAGAAGTGATAAAGATTATACAGAATGATCTCAAACCAGATTCTTTACAAGTATGGCAGAGGGTCAAACCATTCTCAGTACAAAAGCCAACTTATATTCAGCAGCAGACAGGTAGCAAATTACCAATGATACATATGAGAATAGAATGAAGAATAACTTAGGATTTGGAAAACATTAACAAAATTTACAAGGGCCTCAAACTCAGAAACAACAAAACACGTTTTGCCGCTACAAACTGCTCTTCAGATTCATTACCAGACTCGAGCCATAGAATTAAACGGGGCCACAGAACCTCGCAACAGCTTACCAGAGAGTCATCACTATTTATTTTGTGCGCGGCCAATAAGCCTGCACTGTTCGGGAAGTATGGATGAGATGACTGTCCCATTTATGGGAAATAGTTCACCGTCAATTCCACATCCATTGTGTGAGCGCTTCCCGGGCTTAACCTTCACTGATTTTACCTGCATTTCATCGAAAACTTATGCAATCATTCGGAGTCTATTGGAAAGTAACAAATCGATAATTATTGTTAGCCATAAGGTTGGTTTAATTGAAGCATGTGCTCCATCTCAACTAAAAGCCTAAGCTCATAGTTGGATTGCACATTAATGGCTATATGCTCAACACGACCCCCTCACGTGTGCGGTGGGTTCCAAGCAACACGTGGACCATAGTCGCTTATGGGTGGCTGGCTCTAATACCAAATTGAAGCATGTGCTCCATCTCAACTAAAAGCCTAAGTTCATAGTTGGATTGCACATTAATGGCTATATGCTCAACAGGTTTAGTGTGAAACGGTCTCACATAAGTTTTCGTGTACCTTAAAATCCTTTGAAAACATCATGAGGATATGATAAAAAAAATCAGATAGTTTACCTTAACATATTCAACGGTCTCACATAAGTTTTCGTGTACCTTAAAATCCTTTGAAAACATCATGAGGATATGATAAAAAAAATCAGATAGTTTACCTTAACATATTCAACGTATGGCAGTGTGATGTGTCGACCCATTTGCAGAAGCAACAAAAATCGCAAAAGCTTAAGCCTTCCACTTCCCCGGACCAACAACAAATCTAACATGTTATCATCATGCTCGGCTTTAGGGGCCAAAATCTGCGAGCTCAAACTTTGAACAGTTTTACACGCATGGTTGCACACCAGGATACCAAGAAATTGACCTTTAGTGGAGACCCATTTCTCTTCGGACTTGATTGGAATCTCTTTTTGAGCAACTTCGATGGCGTCTTCCGGTGGTGGTCCGGGCAATTCAATAGGATTTTCCACGTGAAAATAATAATTAGGCTCAGTGTCCCATCTCGGTTCTGAATCCCAAATTGGACCGGGATCTGATATTGTAGATGAAATATCCTCTTTATCGTTTCCCCAAGAACATCTAGTAGATTCATTTGTAGCGGTTAACCCATTCCATCCTTTATCAGACCTCGACTTCGACCTAGTCCTGGGCTTCGGTGTCGATGCTAGAGGAAGCTGAGGATGGATAACTTCGGGTTCAGCAGTCGAGTTATTGATTCTTCCAAAAGAAAGCCGCTTAGATTTCGAATCTATTCCACGCACATAATCAGATGGCTCGGTACTACTACAATTAGTATCCAAGTTGGGTCCCGGCGTTCTACTCGGGCTCATAATTGAATCAATGCTCGATAAGCTAGCAGGTCTAGGAAGGCCTTCCTTGCTCGATCTCCTCATGATGTCTGTGTACAAGGCTGACATATCGACGACTTCCCGATCAGCTGAAGCTTTCCCATCTCCGGTTACTTCCTTGGATGCCGGAAGATATTCTACTTCAAAATTGTACTTTGGCAAACACAGGAGTTTGAGGAATCCGGCAACAAAATAGCGCAAAGGACCAAACCGCTTTTGATACTTCTCAGAAAGTTCCAAAACTACAAGTGCATGAGACGGGTAAGCATAAAATGGATGTCTCAATAAATATAAAGTTTGAAACATACAAAACTATTAATAGTCATATATATAACCGGTTTGTTATTCAGTCATACTTAGATTATGGAAAAGCCAATAAATGCATTTAAAAACTAACGAAACATGCTGCCTATGATTACAGATACGGAGTATTATTTCATAAACAATACATACAAGTACCAGAACGGCCATAGTAATAACACGTAAACACGGGAAAAGACTAACCATCACTAACAAAGCCAAAGTATGAAACTGTTGTCCCGAAGTGAATTTGACCGCTTTGAACCCACTCAACAGCAAAAACATCGGTTGCGGTAAGACCTCCCTGAAAGAGGAAAGAACAACTCGACTAAGTGGAAACTTCCCAAGTAAAGTTAGTCACGTTCAGGAGAGTAGTTTTCCAAATCAGAAGGTGAGAAGTGAATTTGGTAATGAATATATAGTATACAAATAATATATAACTGTATATAACATTTGTAAATAGCATCGATTTATATATGTAAAACAAGACGTGAATAAGAATGATAATTACTAATACACAAAATTCAAAGATAGATCCAAAACAAACTGGATGGCGGTGTTTTCCGTGTTTATTACTACAGTTGGCTAAATGGCAAAGATTTCAAAACATTATTATACCGGTTAATTTATACCTTGACTATTGCTATTGCAGCAGAAATTGGGTCTCTAACACCAAGAACAGTCCAAACTAAAGAATTATCGGAACCAGCGGGTATGATTCCAATGGGAATAGAAATAGCTTCCTTCTGATTATCCCTACAAAGTAAACCATTTAATACCTGCAGTTTGCATGGAATCATTGAAGCGGGCAATTAGTACTGTGCAAGGAAAATGCTATTTTGAAAAATATTACTCGTAAAAGAATAAAAGTGATAGGATAACTTAATTAAACTCCTAACTCGAAAGTGAAATGAATAAGATAGCTTCTCAGAATACAAAAGACTTGATAGGAAGAATTTTTATCAAAAGCACACAAAACAGAAGAAAACAAATACACCAAGTCTGACAAAAACAAAATCATTATAATAGAACCATGTGGGACAAGCTATATTTAGCTGAAGCTAAAAACAGGAGAGAGAGAGAGAGAGAGAGAGGGTTTTTTCTTTTTTCTTTTTTTTTTTTTTTTTTGCCGGGGGGTGGGGGGGTAAGTCAAGGTGATTTGGTATTTTTGGCAGTGTCAATGTACCAGGATTTTTGTCCTTTACTGATGTTTGCAACAATAAAAGACAATCCTAACGCTCCATACTATAAAAACATATGGAGAGCTCCCCAAGGAAACGGATGATAAGATAGTACCCTAAGATGAACAAAATAAACGGAAGATAAAGTCACAACTAATGCAAGAACAGTAATCTCTATCTTCAAAAGCAGTGGATAAAGAGGCTGCCAGAAATTTTAAAATAAACACAGGGCAACATATACCACCCAAATGTATATTTCCTATAACAACTACTAATTAAAATTAATTTTAAAAAAATCAATCATGACAGAAAACGTGTTGGATTACTAACCTCGTTTACAATTCCATCACCTCCAACACATATAATACCTGAAGCATGTTCATATCCAAGAAAAAAGGAAAAAATTTTAAAAAGACAAAATATTAAACACAAACTAAGTTGAATAGAAGAGCAAATTTAAAATTTTAAGAGAGAGAGTGAAAGTAGCACCTACCGTCAGGGCATGTACTGAAGTCAACAGTTGATGCAAGTTTCCGAGCATGACCTGCAGATGTCGTTTTGACCACCTCCAACTTGAATCCAGCAAGCTATTAAGAGGAGACTGAAAGTATTAATTCACAACTGCAATGGATCTACTCATAAAAATGGAAGGAAAAAGAAAAAAAATCAAAAGCGCAACTATAACAGATCTGCTCATTTTGCTACTTAAATCTAAAAATACGATGGAAACGAAGTAGTTGTTAAGGGCCTGCAGTCCACCTAAGAAGTAATCAGTCTTTAATCCTTTAACGTGCAGAAATGCTATCATGAAATGTCACACTATGTCGGGCCAAGTTCACTAATTTGATATCTAGCATTATTTATCTCTTTCTAGAGTTCCTAAAAATGGCAAAACAAAGGAATGGACTGAAAGAGTAATTCGTCATGTGTGTATAAACAGTCTGTCGAGGATTGGTCATGTTAGTTAGGTTAACAACTAATCTAAAATGCATTTCTTCAACCGAATCAACCCTATCAACTAAAGATTCCGTGGAAAATTTAAAGAGAACTTATACGAGATGCAACTATAATTTACCTTGAATATAGGTTCAGCCATGGAATAGAACACTTTACTTGATCGACCACGCCCAGACCGTGGATTCAGTATCACGAGCATTTTAGGTGGCGTTTTGCATCTTATATATGATTCGGGCGGAAATGTATTAGTAGCCAACTCGGTTTCCTGCTTCCCCGAAGAACCCAAAGGATGGGGCAACAAATTCACATAACACTGCTGATCTGCAAATGCACTAACCCATTGAAGGGCATCCTCTGGGGTTGAAGCCACAAAACGAAAATCCTTTCGGGTTCTTTGAGGTTTCATGAAACAGGTAAGCCCACTCGAGGTTCTTCGGGGATAAGAATGAACTGTGAAATGCCTTAGATTAGGACAATATGAGACCTGCAGGAATCATAGTAGCCAATACAGCTCAAAATCTAGGGATGAATAACTGAAACTTCAAAATTAACTATAAATGGAGCTCACCGAAACGATGTCGTATAAAGCCAGCATTTCAGAGCCCCAAACCATGGCTTTACTAGTGAGCTTCGCATCAAGAGCATTCTGATATTTAGAGGCGTCTAATTCGCCATTTTTTCCGGCGGACTTCTTCTTGTCCAACGTCAATTTCCCGGAAAACACATCGTACCCTAAAAGATCGGAATTCTCGTCTCCCATATCAATCCTGTGCTCCTCCCCTTTTTCCTTCTTAGGATCGCCGGAATTGCTGACGCCGCCATCCGAGCGGGCGGAGCTCCTCCCCTTGCTCTTTTTTTCCGGGAAGACAACCGGCGACGAATGCTGCCCCGTCGATATCTGAGAGCAAATGCCAAGACGACGAAGCGACTGCGGCGACGCCGCCAGCTTCAAGGAATTGTTCTTGGAGAGATTCCCACTCTTCTGCATATCAAATCCCAGCAGATTCCAGAGTGAAAATCTCACCAGAACCAAGCAACCAACCGGTAACACTCTCCGTCCGTTCAGAAATGATCCAAGATCCCACGCCCCAATTATCACTCCGGATCACAACCGCCCCTCAAACTCTCCATAGAAGCTTAATCTCTCGGATCTTGCAGCCAAGCTCTGAAGCTAGAACGCAGAAAAAACGAAGACTGCCGATTAGGGTTTTACTATTTCTCAGAAAAATCAGTGACGTGGCTGTGTGTGCGCCGGCGGTGATCGGCGAGGCTGAACGGACTACTCCGGCGAGAATTTCAGGCGGAGAAAACGGGTTAAGGAGCAGTTGAAGATGGAATTGAGGAAGCAAAGAAAATGAAAAAGGTGACAGCTTTAAGGTTAAGTGTGTGTTGGTAAGGAGGGAGGGAGAAAAGAAAGTGGCAGCACCATTGCTTCTTTCAGCTTTCTGCCTTCTACCAAACACAAGAAAATAATAGTCAACATACACCTCCTATCCAATCCAACCTTTTTCTCTTTTTTCTTATCTCAATTCCTTGTATTGTTCTACTCCCTTTTTTTTTTCGTGATTTATTATTTTTGAAAAATTCTTCACAAAAGGTTGAATCTTACACCCCGACCTGATAGAGTATTTAGGTAGAGGTAAGAGATTGAATTCCACACTCCGATATATAGAGCATTTAAGTGAATGTAAATCACGATGACTCAATGACTCTCAACATACAGTATCAAATGTCAGTGGGTACCAAGGATCTGTCCACTTTGAACATAATCTCCACACTGCCGCAGCCCAATACTCAAATATTTGTCTCTTCTTCTAAATACTATTTACCGAACCATTAGTTAAGCCCATACAAACATTTTTGAGAAATTCTACTACACATGAAGATGTGTATTGCTAAAATAAAAAGTAACAATATATATATATATATATATATATATATATATATATATATTAATTTCTTGTAACTGTATAAGTAATTTAATACATGTATCACTCTTTATTTTCAAAATATGAATTTTTGAATAAATTTGGTTTTATGTAACGATGGATCTTGGTAAGAATTGAGCTCTACACACTCCATTAAAATATGATATATTTTGGGTATGACATTGTAGAATTTATTTGAAAATTTTGTCAAATAAGTCTTCGAAGTAGTAGCAATTGTAAAATTATGTTCCTAAACTAAACAACAAATTTCAATTAAATCTTTGGACTTATAAAACAAGTGCAATTAAGATTTTTAGCATGTTATTATTATGTAATATATGTTGTCATGTGACTTTTTTTTTTTATGTAATTTGATGTAAGTTTATTTTTAGAATTGATGTGGAAGTGTAATAATAATTTGATATTGATATTTAAAATTGAAAATTAAAATATATATATATATATATATATATATATATATATATATATATATATATATATATGGCTTCTATCGCAATCGAAGACAAAGCATTTTATCTTCATCTTTACTCGAATTAATACAACAAACTCATCTTTGTTTAATTCGGACAACTTTTTTAACCCATTTTTTGTTTTAAAACATTAAATATAAAAATTATATTGTATTTATTTATTTTTTTTGACAACATTTGTTTATTTATTATTTATTATTAATTCTTCCAATTATTTATTATTAATTATTATTATTACTAGTAGTAGTAGTATTAGATGACTACTGCTACCACACAACAGTATTAGAACTACATAACTCATCGCCAAATCACTTAAAAATCACATGACATGTCCAAAAAGTGTCTAGTTGCATTTTTTTACAAGTCCAAAAAGTTCACTTTTTTTTAGTTCATAGACCTAATTACAATGTTGCTAGTAGTTCAAAAGCCTATTTAACTATTTTTTTAAAATTTATTTTAAAATAATTTTCACTTCTGATACTCAAGTTATATGATAGTTCATTATTACCCTATAACTAATAAATTAAAAGTGCAATCTTTTCTATCTTATATTTTAATAACTTTTTTGAACCGTGTTGTTTATTATGTGTGTATACAAAATTAAATATCATGTAAGAATAATTACTGTAAAAAATAAAAATAAACCTAAACCGTTTATTTTAAATAGTTGACAAATAAGATATATAATTAAATGAAAAAATGTGATTGCGTTTTTGTAAATATATAGAACTTCTATTGCATCATTATGATTAAAAAAAACGTCATTTTAGGAGAAACAACATCGATCTTTTGGGAGAAAAACAACACACTATTTTTTTCCAATATACATAAATTTGAATAAAAGATGTGGTAATATTTTAATAAATATGTAGGAGTTTTTTTTCTTTTCTTTTTTCGCACCATGTTAGAGAAAACGTGCATTGTTTTAGCGTATATAAATACGCATAAATAGATCGGAAAATGTTAAAATCGCATTGTTTTGGATAAATACACATTATTTGTTACTTGTGTTGTTTTATATTATTATTAAATACATATTGTTTGAAGAGTAATTCTACATATACTTTCAATTTTTACTCCTTATGATTTGGCATGCTTTGATTGCTCAATTTAATAGGGGGCCATGATGTTTATCTAATCCTTTTTTTTTTTTTTCCTTCAATCAAATTTGAACACAAATGAGAATAAAATTTAGGCATTAATTTTTGGGAGTCCATGAAAAATTTTTATTGTTTGAATCAAAATTGGCATCAATTTGGCCTAAAAATAAGCATGGGGAGATCAAAAATTTGAACACGTCACTTTGGGATAAATACACATAATACAAACTTCTATTTTTATTTTATTTTTTTGAAAGGACAAACTTCTATTTATTTACAAAAATGTAATCACATTTTTTGAATGCTAAAATCTCCATATGTTGTTCATTATTTGAGATGAACAACTAAAATTTATTTTCATTTCTCACACCATATACCATTCTAATGGGATTTCTTTACACACACATATATATAGTTATAATTTTAAACATTGTACCATTTGTATTTATTTAAATATAAAGTACAAGTACATGCATGTATATTTCTCAAGAAATAAGAAATAATATCTTAAAGTATAGTTCTTTTTAAAATGTATAAATGAAACAAATTCGAAGAATACTAACTTGTTAAAACCTTAATTTGTTTAATGTTTCAATATATGCATGTTTAATATGTTTAACTACAATAAACTTATTATTGAATAATACATCAACACCTTCACCAAACATATTTGCCAACAAACTTGTTGATGATATAAATAAATAAATATATATATATATATATATATATATATATATATATATATATATATATATATATATATATTAATGATGAAGGGAATCCATAACTATTATTTGATGGTTACACCATAACTATAGTGTGTTTCCCGTGACCTAGCTCTGACATCAGTTGTTAGGATTAAGCGCCTACAACTACGCCAAAAGTTATAGCTAATAGTGAAGACGCAAATTTATTTCTTTATAGACCGCTATCACATTTTTCGAGAAGTATGGTGCTAGACTTGGCCCTTCACTGGCCTCTGTCCAACAATCTCGTAGCCACTAATTGATGAATTTGGCTCTTTATCAGGCTCCGTTCAACAACATTTAGATACGAAAGTCATGTTTCACCCACTCGATCATTATTTTTAAAAAGGGTAACAATTGTTTAGTAAAGCAGCCTTTGATTAATTGATATAAAGTTTATCTTTTAAAAGTAGTGGAGTAGTTATGGTGGGGTTAATCTTTGGTTGTTAACTAGTTTGGTGGTATTAAACTAATTATTCAATTCTTAAACCAGAAATTATGTTAATTGTTTAGTCTTTATTGCTTGATTGCTTCATTGTTTCAATCATTTGGCAACCTAACTTATCTTCTACTGCTTGCTTCTTCTTCTTTTTTTCTTTTTTTCCCCCCTTTATTAAAGCCATATACACTACTGGGGTATGGTCCAACCAAGTTGGATCCTCTGCATAATGGCAGCCTTATTTTAATTGTTATTGATGGTGCATAGTTGACGTGAAAAGGAAATGATGAAATTTGTTTATGTTATCGTAAAGAATTTTTAATATTACAATAGTCAAATATGCTAAGAGATAGGACCGGAATCCCTATGGCTCATTGTGTGTTTTGAATTATAATTTGGAGCTTAGGTGCTTTCCTTTATTACCCACCCCTTTTCTCCAAAAAAAAAAAAAAAAAAAAATGCTAGGTATTTACTTTGTAATGTTTATTGATCTATTTATGGTACATGATAATTGCATTGCCCACAATTAGATGGTTGATTGACAATTAAAGCATGTGTCCCCACTATTCAGATATGACCATTATGATTAATAAGATGTCTCTAATATTCTTATAAATGCAACATACTTAATATTCCTTTTTTCGGGTTGGGTGATTAAGTTGGACTAATACCAACAATGTGTTTGGTAAATAGTTGTTAGTTGTAGAGATGTCAATACGGGTTGGGCCAAAGCCTAACGGGCCACAGGCCTAGGCGGGGTGGGACTGGGTTTTACTAGCCCATATCGCCCTGCCCTTGGCCCACGGGCTAGGCGGCCCCTGCCACACCACCCCCCATTTTTTTGTTCTTAACTCTCAATCTATTAGTTTGTTATTTTGTTAAGTTTTACCATTTGTATACTTTAAAAATAATTAAAATAATTTGTTACATAACTAACATAAGACATAGTTCATAAAAAATTAGGCATTACATAATACATAATAATAATTATAAAGTCCATAGTTATAGTTATTACTTATTAGGTTATAGTTAGATTTTATAATATATATATATACACACACACACACGAAACTGAAACTGATAGAAAATTCAAATTTTTTTTACCTAGATTTTGAAAATTTTTGGGAGCATTTGGTAAGTAATTTTGATACAAATTTTGTCGTAAATGAAGTTCACCAAGTCTAGAACATAGACAAAAATTTTCATATCAAATCCAATGCCTAGAAGTAATTTTCTAGAATTTTCCCCTTAAACTGCTCCAGATAGAATTTTTATGGACAACACACTGTCAATAACTTAATAGAATTTTTTGTGATTACTGGAACATGTTTCCAACCCAAACTTTTTATTTATATCAAGTTATATAAGTAAAGGTTCTCAAAAACAAATCAACCAAAAAGGAGTCCAAGAAGTATTTTTCCAATTTTATTTTTCCAAATGCTCCAATTTTTTTTTCAGATAGTAAAATTATATATATATATATATATATATATATATATATATATATATATATATATATATATATATATATATATATATACTAGCATTTTGTATACGCGATGCGCGAAAATTTATGCTCAATATTAAAACATTAATAAATATAAATAATTAAAAATTATAATTTGAATTATATATACACACAACTAATATATGTATTTTGTACACACACATATATAATTTATCATTCATAGAAATTTAATTAAAATATAATTAAGCATTAAATTAATATATAATAATGATTTTAATAAAATAATAATTAAAAATAAGAAAAGATATGATAGAGATAGGTGTATGGTAATAATGATGTGTTATCAATGTTAGAATTAAAAACTAACGGTGTTATAACGGTGTAAGGGTAATTTTGTCTAATAACATTGAAATGTACAACATTTAAAATAAAATGTACACATTTATTTGCATACAAAAAGAGGGACATAAATCAAGGATATAACCTTAATTGAGGCTTATTATGTATTTAGATTAGATAAAAGTGGCGAGCTGCGGGTCCACCCTGCCAAGCTCGCGTGCCTAGGTAGGGCAAGTCAAAAAAGCCCCCTCCTTGGCGAGTTGTTATTTTCGAAACCCACTGCAAGACGGGTTGGCCTGATGGGCAAAATCCGTTTTGACGACTCTATTTAGATGATAGTTGTTAGCTAATTGAGTTAGTGGGTTTGACTAGTTGATAACATTAGTTGATTGTAGAAATATGTTTGGTAAAATAGTTGTTAGTTGATCACTGATTACATGTAAAATGACTTTTTCATAAAGATGCTTTGAGCAACTATTTCAATTTTAGCATTTTGGAACAATAAGTCTTTACAAAAAATGCCAAGGACCTTGTGGTCCAATGACACCAAGTTGCTCCCTCATAAGGGAGGTTAATTAATCAAACATTTATATTGGTTGTTTAACCAAGTCAAACAGGTAATTATGGTCAAATAAGTTAAAAATGACTGATAAGCTAACTATGTTACCAAACATGGCCAATATGATTTGTTTAGACTTCAAGATTAAATTGTAATACATGTAGATCGAGCTAAAGCATCTAAATATAATCGTGATAATCTATTTAGATTTGTCCAGCTCTATTATCCCATCAACTCATCAAGTAATATAACTTTTTAAAAAATATTATTATGTACTTAATCTTTATCCACATATAATATAAAATATAAATATAAAGAATTGTAACACTTAAAGATAAAATGTTGTTTAATACAAATGTCTACACCATCAATAAAGTGGAATATAATATGACTTCACTTTTGGAAATGCTTGGTAAGAGGGTGATGGATTGTATAAATCAGGATGCAATGATAAATGATTAATGGAGTTATTTTGGTATTAGGCTTACAACCTTGAGTACAATGAGCAATGCATGTCAAATTAGATAATCATGAATGTTTGTAAAGATTGTTGGGAATTCACATGTACACCTATTATAATCATTAATGCTTATTTATGCCAATTATGTAACAACCTACAAAAATAGTTAACATATTGTTTATTATGTTTAAATAGTTTAGAACCTTATTTGGTTATTAGTTGATCTACTAAAATTGGGTGAATTTGACGATTTTAATAGTTTGACTTGATGGAAAGTATTTGATTAAAAATTTTTTTTATTTAGAGGGTAGTTATCAAAATTTCAAGAATTGAAACACTATTAGGACGTACATTTATATATCAACATATTCTTTTTTTATTTTCAAATTTCATTTTTGCCCTTTACTGGTTGGAGTCTTGGATTTGCCTAACAACTTCAATAAGCACCGTTGAGGAGCACTCATAGATTAACTTAGAGCAATTCCATCAAACTTTTTTTTGAAGGTTTTTGAAGATTTTTATGTTTAGCTGGATGTGAAGGGTGAGAGGAGAGAGAAAATTTTAAACTCAGTAAAATTAAATTTTTTGTATGGTCTATTGTTGGGAGAAAAAAAAAAAAGAGAAATTGTCGCACTAGTTGCGCATTGGGTGCATTGTTGCACCCAACTAGACTCGTAAATGTGACTTATTTTATTTTTATTTTGTTGTCATATATATATTTTTCTTTTTTCCCCTTATTTTTCATCTCCTCTCTTCACTCTATTTCTTATTCGGCTCAGAAAAAGCATCTAACAATTTTAACTATTAGAAGTGTTCTTATAAGTTCGTTTAGATTTAGATAAAAATATATTTAGTACAAATAACTAAAAAAAAAAAAACAATTGAAACATTATTATATGAAAGGATCAGTGGATCACCCTTGTGTGAGACCGTCTCACAAATCCTTATACGTGAGAAGAGTCGAATCAACATGAAAATGTAATACTAATTAGAAATAAATAAATTGTTACTTATAAGCGAAAATGTAATACTTTTACATTTTTGATGTAAAAGTATTACATTTTACATTATAAGTAATGTTGACAATGTTGTTACTAAGTGAAAATGTAATACTTTGAATCAAAATATAAACGAGTTAATACCCACAATCGTCCTCGACTATAGTGGTTTTTCTCAATTTCGTCCTAAACGACTTTGGTGACCTAATATCGTCCCAGACTTTTGTGTTTCGCTCAATTTAGTCCCAGACTTTTGTGTTTTTGCTCAATTTAGTCCCTCATTTGTTATTCTGTCTATTTGGTGTTAAATAAATAGACAATTCAGTAATTTTAATATTGGCATCTATTTACTCAGACATGTGAACTGCGAAATCCCATTTTTTTTTACGAATTACTCCTAAAACTGCGAATATAAAATTTGATTTGCAGGTCCGGGAGTAATTCTGGGTGTAATTCGTACAAGAAAGATGAATTTTGCATTTCACAAGTTGAAAGTAAAGAGAGATCAATATTGACATTACTGAATTGTCCATTTATTTAACACCAATTTGACGGAATAACAAATGCAGGACTAAATTGAACGAAACACAAAAGTCTGGGACGATATTAGGTCACCAAAGTCGTTTAGGACGAAATTGAGAAAAACCACTATAGTCGAGGACGATTTTGGGTATTAACTCAAATATAAACGTATTACACTTTCTTATTATATAAATTAATAAATATTTTATTTATTACTCCGTATTAGTATTATATCTTCTAGTATAAGTATTACTTTTATCTGGACAAAGATTTGTGAGATGTTTATACACAAATTTTTGCATATGGGATAATGAACAAAAAAAAAAAAAAGAAAAAGGGAGGTGGTGGAAAAAGAAAAAATTTATTAAAAAAAAAAAAAAGAAAAAAGAAAAAAGAAGGAATCAATGTAGCGTAGTCGGAGTGGCGCAGGGAATGGTGCATTCTCGAAGATATTTGGTACAAATGGCATTTTCGTTAAAGTCGTTGTCTCGTCGGTCTTCGCCGTTGGGTTTTATCTCAGAGCGATCAGTTGATTACGCGGCTGCGAACTGATGGCGTCTGGCGGCGGAGCTGGAAATGCGGGAGGAGGAGCGGCGGCGCTCGGGGCAGGAGTTGAGTGGCACCTAAGGCCGCAAGTCCCGAAGAATCCTGTTGTCTTCTTCGACATAACCATCGGGAACATCCCTGCTGGTCGTATCAAGATGGAGCTCTTCGCCGACATTGCTCCCAAATCCGCCGAAAACTTCAGGTATAACTCGATCTAAAACCCTAACTAAACCCCCGCCCGCGACTGTAATGGAAAACACTACTACCGAAGCTCCCACTCGCAACTCTGATTTCATATTCACTACTCAAATTTCATCGTCTCGTTTCCTTGCTCCGTAGTTTGCAGCTTTTGCTTACGTCGTGAGATTAGATTTGCTGCGTGAATGAATGTTGGTAGGGATTGGCAGACTAGCAGAGCAACAACATCATTTGCTTGCTTGTTTTACTTTGTTAGTGTTAGAAGGTTGCATTTTGGTTCTAGACTTAATTCAGCGTTTAAGAAGACTATGTAATAATTGAAAGAGCATAAGTATTCCGTAAAAGACTGTGTTTCGTGTTCTATTGTTCTTTTGGTGTGAACAAATTCTAGTCTAAACCTCTAATTGAGTTTTTATGTTTTTGTTTCAGGCAGCTATGCACTGGCGAGTTTAGGTCAGTGACTCAGTAAATGCACTTGATTTAAGCTCCACCTCCATTCTCCCCTACAGTTTGAGATTTATGCTCTTGCAAGGCTTGAATAGTAGTTCTGGGGCTACTACTAGCAAAATTTCTTAATTCTTAATGTGTGTTCAGATGTTTTGAATATCAGTGGTCTTCTGCAAAACTGACTGGCCCAAACATCAGCATGATGAAAATCATAGAATGCATTATCTTGGAAGGAAAATTTTATTGGAAGAATAAACAATTTTCCAAATATTTTCTTTTGGTCAGAGCCATAGGAAAAGCATGGGTGTGAGATGTGCCAAAATGTTAATGATATGCAAAATGATGCATGGCTGAAAATGCTGGACCATAAGTCATTTTGAATCATTGATTACAAATCAGAAAATGCATAATCATCTCAAATTTATTTGCTTACGTAGTATTATTTTTGTGTCTGTTCACATATCAACTTGTGATCTGAAATTTACAGGAAAGCAGGAATTCCGCAAGGGTTTAAAAACTCTCAGTTTCATAGGGTGATCAAGGATTTTATGATTCAAGGTGGTGATTTTCTGAAGGTGGGTCTTCCTCTCTGTCTCTCTTATGTACACAAATAATCAAATGTCCATATCAAGTTTTTTGAAACTAGCTTGTTCACTGTCATCTAAAAAAATACCTGCATACTGATATTGTACTTTGATATTTTGTAAAGCAGTTTATTCAATTGGCATCATTGTTTCTTACCTCTTTGTGGTTGATACTCTGTAGAATGATGGAAGTGGATGTGTATCCATATATGGAAGTAAGTTCGAGGATGAAAACTTCATTGCAAAGCACACTGGTCCAGGTTTATTATCCATGGTATGGCAAGTAGCCTTAAATTTTGTAAAACTAGTAATTTTTATAACTTGGATATGTGGTATAGACACTTGCTTTGATCTTATGACAACACAATTTAAGGCTACACACAACTACACAAGCTTTAGACCTTTATTTTGTTCCTATAATCCTATCTGAGTTTTAAATGCAAAAAAAGCTTACAGCTGGTGGATCTTTATTGTGCCATTTTGATGATTTCTTTCGGATGTCTGGTTATTTAAGTTTTCTATCATTGATGGAATTGTACTGATAATTCGTATATTTTGACAGGCAAATAGTGGGCCAAATACGAATGGATGTCAGGTATGTGTCTTGAATGGCCAGTTCTTTGAGTCATTAAGTATCAACTTCAAGTCTGAACCTTTTGCCACTTAAAGCAACATGGTAGTTAGGCACAAAAGGCTTCCTTTGGTACATATTTTAAGTCTGTGGGGTTCATTTCATCAAACTCAAAGTTTAGGACATTTATTCTCCATACGATTTTCCTGTGTTATTATTCATAAACATCATTTGAAATCACTACTAAGATGTATGTGGGAGATGACTAGATGAGTGGGTTAGGGAGGCTAAAAAAACAGGCATGTCTTGATTTGTTATAAAACTACAGGTTGGACTATGAATCAGGACTATGTGCATGGTTGCAAAAATCGCGCCTTGGCGCTAGGCGCCCGGCCGCCGCCGCGAAGAAGGCCGGAATCGGCCTCCTCCGCGGCCGGCCGGCTAGGCGGTCTAGGCGGCCGCCTAGACTGCCTAGCCGGCTGAACCGGCGCTTTATTTATTTTATTTTATTTTTTATTTTTTATTTTTTATTATTTATTTATTTTTTTTTTTTGCGTTTTAAATTGCGAAAAGTTCGGGAAGGCATAACTTTTGACTCGGTTGTATCTTTTGGACAAGATCTATCCACCGCAAACAGCCGAAGGCGGTTTGGTCCACTAATTTCTCAAAAAAATGCTTCTTTAGCTCTTAATTTTAGTTTTTTATGTATTTAGATGGTTTAAACAATCTTTTGAACACTTTTACAACCACTTTCGTAAATAGTTTCTAAGAAATAACTATGGAAACCTTATGTTTTATTACTAAATTTTTAATTTTTAATTTTATTTTTAATTAAAAAAAATTTTAAAAAATTTAAAAAATCGGCGCCTAGGCACCCCCTTGCTGCCTAGGGGGCGCCTAACGTGTTTTGCAACATTGACTATGTGTTTTGAAGCAAACAGCCCCTACTGTCAATTCCAGCACCGTTGGTTTTCATTGGCAATGTCTTGTTTATTGAATATGTTATGCTTAGGAACTCCTAGGTGCATATTAAACGCATAAAATTAGTTACGGATGTCATGATTGAAGTCATGTTCTCGTGTGTACTGCCTTGGCAAGATTCATTCTTCTGTTCAATTTAACAGGACCTGTGCTTGAAAGTTACTCATTCAGTCGGTTGTTTCTAATTCAACCAATTGCATGTTTCGCCTTGCAGTTCTTCGTCACCTGTGCAAAATGTGACTGGCTTGATAACAAACACGTTGTCTTTGGGGTATGTTGTCATTTTCATTATCAATAATTATAAGAACCATACAATGTGGTTCTTGTTTGTTTTTTTTCCCTGGTTTGCTTTATGGCCTAGATATGATTCTTCTGTATAGAGTAATCTCTTATTTACTTATTTCATTGTCACACAGCGAGTACTTGGAGATGGTCTTTTAGTGGTGAGGAAGATTGAGAATGTGGCAACTGGACCTAACAACAGACCAAAACTGCCATGTGTTATTGCTGAATGTGGGGAGATGTAACACAATTTGTCCAACTTTTCAATCACAAATTCATACTGGTTGTTAGCAGCACTTGATTGCAGGAGCAATTAGAGTAATCTGTCAAGATGTAAGGAGTATAACATGAGAGAGGATAGCTGTTTGATATACAATTACAATGTTGCATTATGTGAAGCCCAACTTCATTAAAATCGTAATGAAGACTATATACTTTTTTTTTTTCCTGGAAAATTTGCCAAATTGAATATTTCTGCCATTCAAAAGAATGTTACAAGGGTATTTTTACAGCACAAATTGTGACACTATGCAGATTTTGGGATTTTAAATTGCTTCTTCACAAATTGAGAAGCCTCAGAATCACCCCTATGACACAATATCCTAAGTAAGGTCTTCGTATCCGCGCCCAGTTTACTCCTCCCACCCTGCATTTCTACCTCGCTTGCAGATTTCAAATCCTCAATCAATTCCCTAGTCTGCAATCAATTAAGTACAAGTAAATGAGGGAAAGCAATGCTCTGTGGAGAATCTGCCCAAATTTTTTCTTTGAATCTGTGTCCAATTCAATCTTTTTAAAGCAGTTGGAAAGACTAACCTCATAACCATGCAACTTTACCACTTCCCGAAGATGTGCCACTTGATTTTCAACGACTCCACGAGGAAGCCCATCCCCTCCAGAGATGTAAAATTCCTGCAAGAAAGACGAACAAAACTTTATATGTACACAATGTGAAGAATGAATATCCCTATTTGAGTTCTTCCCGTGATATTCGCTTGATATTATAATCCAAAGATTCCTATTCTAACACAGTTTGAGCTTGCTTCTTTTAATATGCATGACAAAATGGGATTTCAGATTTGCAGCAGAATACCTTCAAAATTTCTAAGTCCTCTTCCAATAGCTTTGCATCACTGGGATAGAATATGCGTGATGGGCCTCCATCTAATATGACCCTAAGTAAACCATCCTGTGGTAGTTGATCATCTTAAAAGGTTAGATACACGATGTTATAATTAGGTTGAAAAAAAAGGTCAAGATAACACAGACCAGCGATGCTTGAAGGAGCCCAGTTACAACGCGATCTCTGAGTGGCTCCATTATAACACCACATAATTCAGAGAGAACCTGCATGGGAAAGCTTTAGTTAACCACCTATCCTTGAAAAAGAAGAAGATTGTTCAAAAACTCTATACAAGCTCACAACTCTGATCAATGCATCATGTATATCAGATATGATCATTAGATTTAGGTATTTGTATAAGATGCATACATCATCTGACACAGGCTCCCCACCAAGGGTTTGGCTAATGCATAAGATGTCCATGTGTTAAAATCTTTTTAACTTCTATATCAGAATGGGTATTTTTGTTTATGTGCTGATAGGAACAGCCATGTTTCACTTCAACCAGGAAGAGGATATATATATATATATATATATATATATATATGTATGCTGAAAGTGGACAGTGTGCTCCACATGGCTGTTCCTATCAGCACATCCAAAGTGGATGAATGTGTGTACCCAAGATGTTTATTTCCATCGGCCTCAGGTGCTGAGGAGTATGGAAAGCTATATCCAGACATTCATCCATTTTCAGCGTTGCTAACTCACTGAAATTATAAATCATTACATAAAATATTACGACAAAAGAAGCCCATCCATACCGCGTCTAGTGTATCCATCAGTGCCTCAAACCTAGACTGGGCAGCAGTGGGTTTGTATAGATTGTCGATGAATGGTTCTCTTAAATCCCAGAAAATAATTTTAGTTCCTGTGGGACATAATAAAAACAAATGAATTTGATTATAAAAGTGCAGAAATTTGCCATACAAAAGAAAACAGAATTTTTCTCACCAGTGAACTCACAGATCTGGTCAATAGCAGCGTTGATATCTTTTCTACTGCCATCAAATGTATTCTTCTGCACAGAACTCTTTGTAACATCTGTAGATTTCTCTGAAGACAAACGGAAACAGAGCACGAAAATTGAATGAAATTCATTCAGTGGTAAATTGCAACAGTCAAAGACAAAAATTCCATCTGATTTAAAATGAATCTCAACATATGTGCTAATGTAACAGCTATAGCTAAATATGCTTGAGGTCAGAAATAAAGCTTTTTAAGAGCTCATGTAAACTTTTGAATTTAGTATGAAATAAGAGGAAGTTAATATTCCACTGTAGGGAAAATAAACAAAGCCCAAATAAATTGGTTACAAACTAATTTTATGAACCAAATGAAAAAGACACTCACTTGTGGTAATCTTATCGTGTGGCTTTATCTTCGACCATTGCTCCCAAATGCTATCTTCCAACTTAGTCAGTTGGCTGATAGCATACTGTTAAAAGATAAATGCTTGTTCAGGAAATAAAATGATCAACAAAGATTAAAAAGTTGGTAAGATAGTAGTTGAACTCACATGAAGTGTATTCAATTGAATGCAGAGTGTTGATGTTGCCAGAATGTTAACATCACTAAACTTTCTGCTCTCTGACAACTTTGAATCCCTTAATTCCTTCTTCACAAATGCCTTAATTCCATGTTCCCTTGAGTATCTTGTAAGAATAGGAATAGGCGGAACAATATCTTCCTTATTCGCTGTCATGGAATAGCAGGAAGCTCACCATAGACGAAAACGAAGTGCATATAGAAAATGATAATAACTGTGTAGTTGTCTTGAAACATGATTTAGATATGTAAAACTCACAAGATAACATTCAAACAAAATCAAAAGTTGCAAAGACAAATGATACCGAGTAAAAGAAATCAGAAAATTAGGCACTTTCGTGTTGGTCTTGAGCAATTTGTGATATTAAAATTGCATTGTTGAAAAAGGTCTTGTGGACAAAGATGACATACAACATAAGAAGAAATTCTGCTTCTACATACATACCCAGCTTGCTAACAACATGTTGTGCATACAATTGAAATGCATTGTCAATTCCACGGATGAGGCTATTCAGCTCTGCTGATCTCATTGGTACTCTAAGAGCAAACAATTGATCAACCGTCTGCAATAGGAAAATAATTAATCCTGTTAGTAACTGTACTTTCTGGTAGTGTTTCTGAATTCTTGAAGAATATTAATGAGCAACAATGCTGAAAGCCTGAAACGGTCAGACCATGACCACAAAGCAACTGACATTTCAAAAGTAAAATTCTGCAATACATTGTACTTACAAAGTGCAACTAGTTATACCTTTAAGTGATCTCTACTGCCATAAATTAAGGAAAACAAGCAAATATGAAATACCTTTCCTTTTTCAATGACGAAGTTTGAAGTATCTATTAGCATTTGTGACACCATACACTAAAAGAACTTTTACCTTGTTGATATTCACTTCTATATGCAAAGTAATATGATCTGCTCATGATATTTCTAATTACTACTGATGAAAGAAATTCATTGCAGATGGCAGAGAAAAAAAAAAGATTAAAGACTTAAGAAATACAAGAAACAAATTCTAACCTCTTCAACTATCCTGTACACTTCAATAATGGAGCTTCCATATCTTTGCTGAGGTGACACTGGCACCCAGTCCTGGAAATTAAAGTACCAACATTAATTTGTGCAGGATAATAAGATATTGGGGACAAAGAACTAGAAGATCATACACAGAAGAGGCAAAAGGTTGAAGTACCACCCTCATGTTAAATTAATACGAGTAACACATAAAATAGAATATGGTGCAACAAGTATTCCATATTGATACACACATAATGCATTTATAACATAAATTCTTTATTCACATTTCACCAACTTGTAGTGTTCTGAAGTTTAGAAAAACTCTGACGGTGCACGCTTTCACCAACTTGTAGTCTCTTCTAAGAGATCAAAATCATAAAATTCGTAGGTAAAACTAAGAAGCAGAATTTCCATAATAAGGTGAGAATTTGATTTGACATTATAGAATGTGGCACATGAACTTAATCAATCGATTTTTTTTTCAAACATTACTCCTAACGTCTCATTTTATTTGTCTTACTTCACTTTCCAATGGTCAACTGATCCTAACTGTAACTAAATTTTGAGACATTTTTAATATTTTTAGATCTCATTTCTTAAGGCACACTTTTTTGTTTTTTGTTTTTTTTGACATTTTTATGTTGTTTTACAATATCTAAATTTACTTCTTCAAATATTAAATTATTAATACCAAACTTAGTCATTAGTAGGAAAAAAGAGCAGTTAATAGGACACATAATTGGGATGGAGGGAGTATCATACATTAGTCAGAAATTAAGTAAATACTCTTAAGAAATGCAGTGGTGAAAATCAAGTTGACCCTACAAGCAAATAAATGGAAATAAGTACATAAATAAACAAAATAAATTAAGTCACAACCTCCTGCTGCACAGCTCGCTCAACCCAACTTAAGATCCTTCCAAGTTGCGAATTCACCCATCTTAGCACCAATGTACTAGATATAGTTTCAATCTGAAATAGAATAGAAAATATTAAATTGTTGAACTTAGTACTTTTAGCAAGATATAAAGACAGATTCATAGATATAATCAGTAAAAGCACATTTGCCTATTTTTTAAGGGAAAATACTTGATAGCAAAAGAAAACTACAATACTTAATTTAAAGCATATTAGAGAGCTTTGTATGAATCCCACACAAACAAATTGAAAACCTACTAGTTGTATGCTCCTCTCTTTAAGCAAGCAGAATTTGTTTGCTGTTTTTTAATAGGTAATATTTTACTAAACACCAAACCTTCATTTATAGAAATATAGTTACAAATAAAACCTTAATTTTTAACCCATTTACAGTCATGGGGGATGGAGGTGGGGGTGGGTTTGGGGATAAGAACATAGAAGAGAAAAATATAAAACTGTATAAGACTGAAGATAATGAACGTAGTGCTAAGGACCAAATAAATGTGAAGTTTGCATTTATTGGATCTCTAATCATTTCCTATAGAATCCCAGGTGAGTTGGTATTCTAATCGATAAAAATATTCCACTGCTATACAACTAAACTCAAGCCTTACCCCATCAACAAGGATCAGCCGTTTCCAGTATTCAACTATTCATATATACATTTTAATATAAATCTAATCTAATAAAAGAGAACCCAAAAATGGAAAAGTAGTGTCCACCAATTGTCATCACTCTGCAGCCCAGGTTCAATTTGAACCAAAGAATTTTATGAAAGCAATTCAATTACTACCCTCTTAGAAAACCTAAAAGGTACAAAGCAAGTCAGATATCACCATCCTAGAGTAAACAAAAACTTTCTTGCATGCTTACATGTAAGAGCAAATGAAAGACAGGAAACATTCTCACCTTGTACAAATTCAGTTTTCTACAGTATGCATCTGCAGCTCCCTCTTCACAAGTCTGAACAATGATTTCAATGATGTACTGCTCAAGACTGTCAGCAGCAGGAAATACAGCTACAATGTCTTCACTAAGATGCTCAGCACTATCAAGAAATGGCTTCTGAAAAATTCACATCATATCAGAAATTACCACATACAATTCAAAATCACAAATGATTGTTTAACAACACATGAATCAACAATCAGCTTACCAGTTTAACACCGTATAGCTTGTGAACTAGAGACGCCGAAACAGCAGCTGCATTGTGATGCCTCTGTATTAAAATAGGCATGTAAATGGTTCTATCTTTCTGCAAAAGTTTCTTTGTCTGTTCTGCAAGTAATGCCAAGGGATGCTCATGTGTTGCATCTGACAATGTCTCCACATCTTGCAGCATCTGTAGATAGAAAGAAAATTCAAGCTCACATGAAGAATATCCAGAATCAGTCTAAGAAAATATCACTCTACTTCAGAGAAAGGGAAAGATAGATCTAAGTATGACTTGTTTGATATGGATTTATTTACACTTGGATATGGTTAATGATAACTGATAAGGTAATTTAGGTATTCTCCAAAATTGTAGATACTTGATAGTAAGAACACTCATTATGTTTAACTTTGAATATGAATGCCTTTAAACTTGAAATGGGATAATAATAACGTTATTTGGGTTTTCCCCCAACTTCTAGATACTTGGTAGTTTTTTTTTCCATTTTATAAGAAATAGTAGATCTCCTGTTTGTCCAATTTGTAGATACTTGATAGTTTTATTTTCCAACTTGTAGATCTTCTATAATAATAAGGTTATTGGGTTTCCCCCCAACTTCTAGATACTTGGACACTTGGTAGTTTGAAGAAGAAGAAGAAGAATAGATGACTTGATAGTAAGAAAAGCTAATTACTTTATAGTTCAGTTAAAGACTGTTACCAAACATAATGTGAAGTAATGATATTGACATGTTCAAGAAAAGAATAACTAAAATGAATGCTTCACAAAAATAGTACGCTATCCCAGAGATAAGAAGAATCTCCTCACAATGTTTAATTAACTATGATTATCAGTTAAAACTTATAAAGTTGGATAGGCCAATTTTTTTAATAGAAGCAAAATGGGAATTAGTTTCTTTGATAAACAAACAGCCAACTGTTTTGCTTTGGAATTTGCAAAAAGTGTATTCAACAAATTACCCTCGCGAATGCATATTTTGTTGAAGATGATATGTAAAACTCTATCTGCTCTGAATCAGTGTCGGGTATAGCCTGCATTGCCTTCAAAAAGAAATGCCAGATGTGCAACTTCATTAATAAAAGCTTAGTTTCTATGTACAATGCCAATAAAACCAATAGTAATACTGTATTTTTGCCACTCAGGAGGAAGAGGGAGGGGGCAAATAATATGTACCAATCCAGGTTCTTCTAGAAGCAGCCTTCGAGCAAGTATTGCAACTACCACAGTAGCTTCCATCAATGCCGAACCCTTTAAGGGAACAGAGAAATGTGAGTATACTTTCTTATTAAAAATGAAAAAGAAGAATTATGGGACTACTACACATGCTTGATTTAAAATCCAGTACAAATGAATTACAAAGGTGAATAGTTAAAGATAATGTAACCTATACACATGCAATACAGCATTTTGTATCCGTATTCCAGCTTTATAACACCCTATTGGTCAATTGCAACTTTGTTGGGAGCCATTTTATTACATTAGTATTCTTACATAAGAACTTGCTCTCTATGTTGAGGCAGATAATAAAGTAATGTGTTCCACGGTGCAAATAAATTACTAAGATCCTTGCTTGTTAAAATATAAATGGGATAAATGAAAAATATGCTATGTCAATGTATAAAATATCTCCTGCACTGTATAAATTAACTTGTTTTGATTAGTGTGAAAGCATAGAACTTGAAGTTTATATGTCTAACAAACCTCAGCATAACAGAGATGGTAGTCTTCCAACTGCTTATCAGCCCATTTTTTAACAGGTAGTAAGAAAGACTGTAAGAAAGATAGTTCCTGATATCCCTTCTCACTTTCAATTCTGCTTTGCAAGCTCTTCAAGTGTATTCTCTCCTGTGGTCCTCGTTGTTCCTTCAATGGTATTTTCTTTAACTGCTCAATGGCATGCAGGAGGATTCCTTGCTCACTAGTGATGACAAACTGTAGAAATATAATGAAGCTATAATGAAACAAAGGCTCCAAATAAGAGCATAACTTGTAGAATTGGTCAATAACCCCCCTAGAAAACAAACAAAATTAAATATAAATCACAAAAAAAAAAAAACAAAACAAAAAACAAAACAAAAAACAAAAAAAAAAAAAACAAATTGAGCATAGATAGATCTGATTAACATTATTAAAAGGCACAATATTGGATACATGATAACAAGTAATAACATTTAGCACAAACATCACATAATTAGAAGTGGCAAAAAAGGGAAAAAATAAAAACAAAAAACACACATTACTAGGTAGTAGGTACCCTAATGTAGTGAGAGATATCTATTCAAGGTTGAAGATTTGCATCTTTCTATCTTCCTCCCAATATATAATAATTCTCTCAACACAATTAGAAAAATTGAAAGCACATAACACTACAAAACATCTGTTGGTAAAATAGTTAAGAGGACACATGGGTTTGAATCATGCACATTACCACATAATCAAAATATTTCCACATGTTTCGCTCATTGAAAAGTATTCAGCCCACATGTGAGGGGGCATGTTGAGGTTAAATACAAAAAAATAAATGTACATCATCGGTATCTAGCTTAAACTTTTAGTTGAGGTGGATGCATCATTCAATAATAAGAAACTCCCATTGTAACATATGCATGTCAAAAGGATCTTATCCTCAATGTGACAAACAGACTAAAATTTAGTTGTTGGTCAGAAAATGTATAACCAATACAATCAACAGATTCCATCCAAAACCCTTATACATAAACCTTATGCAGTAATGACTAAGCACCCATGCATAACAAGTGTAATCAATCCAAGGGCAACTAAAAAACCTTTGCTCCTTTTGTTTACCTGACGACACAAGACCCATGCATAACAAGTGTAGTGAATTGTCTCCGTGATTCCCAAAATACGCCAGGTTGACTTAAAAAGCTCTAGAATTTCTTCAACTTCCTGTAAATAATAATAACCACAATAACAACAACAATATTGATGACAGAAGAGTTGCATAGTCTATAGCATCACACACACTGAAAACAATAAATTTTAGAAACTGAAACCAGTGTAAACATTTCAAGCAGTGGAAAATAAAAAAGAAAGAAATTAGAAACCGGAACCAATACTAATCGATGTTCTGCTCCTATTGCCATTTCAATGTTCCATATTGCTTTTTGTCAGTTACAACATATTATTAGACAAATAGATACAGAGTGACTCTACACATATGACATTCATATCTCAAAAGAGAAGACTTACAGTAAAACCCACAACTGCTCACAATATCTTCACCTATAATGAGGTATAACTAACCTCAGTGAGCTTTCCCTCATCCAAAACATCGAAGATGCTGAGAAGTAGTTTCTCATACAGTTTGACATTAAGGTGATAACCATCAGCCCAATGACATACTTCACCAGTTAAGTCACCTCGAGCTGGCCGCTCTGCCAGTGGAATAGCAACTTCTCTTAGAGATCTTAAACACTCAGACCGTTGAAGATCTGCAGCAGGAGGTGGAAGAGACTGAAAGAAAGAAACAAGTTAAGTCGGATCATAGAATGAGATTATAAACAACTGGTGTAGCATCATATGTGAGCATCTTTCTCGTGCATCAATCGAATTGAACTTTTCATCTTTTTTTTTTTTTGGTTTTAGGCTCACAGTGCATTGATTCCATTACTTTCTTTGATGTTAGCTTTTATAGTTATAGAAATCTCTCAAATGAGAGGCATTTAAGAAGGAAACAGTTAGGAAGAACTGAATCAAAGATGTATCTTGTAAAGCTTTTACGGAGAAGTTGAACTAATGCCTGAATAAATATCCAGATTGTAAATAACACAAACAAAAGATAAATAAATACAAACCTCAGATTCCTCAATCTTAGCCAGAAGAGCTCTTAACTCATTGGCTTTTCGCCCAGATTCCCCAAATCCCACAGCAGGGTGATTGACAAGCCCCTCCTCCAACATGTTTAACTGAACTAACACAAAATAAATAACATATGACATGTGTTTAAGCATTATATGAAGTTTCAGTATTTTAAAATTGCACTCACTATTTCCAGCATACCATTCCCTATTGCTGAAAAGGAAAAAGGAAACCAGAAAGCAAAGAGGGGAAGAAAAAGGAGGACAGTTAAGTGTGTATAGACCAGCACATATACATGAAAGAAGAGATATCTCACCTGTCTCTTTTGCCACTTTATATATGCCTTCTTGTCAGAAAATTGTGTGCGTGAAATGCAACATAATAGTTCCAACGGAATCAACAGTGTGTCCATTCTTTTTCCCACTTTACCCACCATAGCATTAAGAAGACCTTCCCTTGTTCTAATATCCATTGCCTCCGAAATCTGGTACCCATGAGAATAGGTGAGACCCAATATATGGAAAAGTTAATACAAATCATATGTGCTCTGATACTAGTCCCAGCATAGATGTAGAAAATACATGGATAAGCAATAACTAGCATACAAATCTTCCACTCTCTACATCTTACTTATGCTGAAAAATGTTACCAAGCTTTCAAAAAATTATGTCTAACCTTTGATCTAATTGAAAACATTTACAACTACATAATGCAATGTCCAGCCTCATCCATATTCGCATACTTTTTCATAGCCACCATATGTAGGAAGTGACACCTCTCAAGCCCCACAGCTATTCCATCCCTCAGAAAACCATGGAAAATTTACTAGTCCTTGCATTGAAGGATACAAGTAGCTTACTTTCTTAGGGTGCATACAAGAGAGCAATTAGAGCAATGGTGGTGAGAGTAGAGCTATCTAACCACTCCAATTGCATTGCTCCCACCGAACCTTTACCCCTTTAATTGAAATTTATGCGATTGGAGTCGTAGACTGCTCTAATCACTCTAACTGTAACTCATCCAAACAGCTTTTCAAAGAGCCGTTGAAGCAGTTCCAATTGCACAAACCACTTTCCCAAATGCATAATTTGCTTACTTTCTTAGGGTGTATTTGGAAGAGGCTAAATTTTAGCAGTTAAAATGCTAACAATAAGATTAGAGCAATCCAACTCTCCAATTGCATCACTCTAACCAAAGCCTTACCCTTCCAATTGAAATTTCTATGATTGGAGTGGTGGAACACTCTAATCAATTCAACCACAACTTATCCAAACGGATTTTTGAAGAGCGGTTGGAGCCATCCAATGCTCCAATCACTATCCCAAATGCACCCTTAATCAGGATGGGATGCCCACATCTTCCGCTAGATCTGCCTATGCTCTATAAAATGACACTTGGGTGGGCCACTTTTGCATTATTGAAAGGTACCCAATTTTAATCCCATGTTAAAATCCAGGAAAAAAATATACTTGAAACAGATATTAATAGTCTACCTCCATTTGGACGCGCATGGTCTCCAATAGAGAAACCAATCCATGTGAACGCTGAGACCGTGCTGCACCATGTTCGCTTTTACTCCGCCCAAGCTTCTGCATCAGTTTAGACTTTCTGTCCTTTTTCTTCTCCTTTGATGGTACAATGAGGCCCCTACTCACAAAAACATCAAAATATAATTCTTGAAAACTCTACTAATCGAAATTGGAGTAGAGAAGTAAGCCAAAACCCACACACGCAATGAACAGTACCCTGAAGCTCCAGCAGCAGCTAGGAGGATTTCATATGCAGTTTCTCTAAGGTCATCATCACTAATACCTGGGAGAAAACAAAGAAATTAAACTTCCAAAACTTAAGGGATAACAGGCTTTACTCGAAATTAGATGACACCACCAGTCAGAAGGATGACAAATGACTTTATTAGAGTTGCAATTAAGTATGGTAGTAAAATCAAATACGAATTGGAAGGCAGCAATCAAGTGAAGAATCCAACTGATAGACAACATACAAAAAAAAAACAAAAAAAACACACACACGCACAAAAAAAAACAAATATAGTTCATCCCTGTTACAGAGAAAGAATAATAGTATGTTGATGTTTGTCAAGGAACAAGTACAATGCCAAAGGTATACACAGGTCACACCCACTAGGGTTAAGGTTCCCATTCAACAATCTCTAAAAGTCTCATATAATTATGGAAAATAACTTAATGAGGAAAACAATAAGATACCATGAACCCCTGTCCCTTATGTATGAAGCAATTGAAAATGGAAATCCATTATCCCAAGTATAGACATTTGTTCTTAGGTTCATTACAATGTTTCCTCAAACAAGCTATATAATAAAGCAGGGTAATATCATGAGCCTAAAATTCTCAAAATGGCTAAAATAGAAATTTAGAAATTTATTCAATACAATTTGTTTGTCTTGCATCTCTAAGTGATTAGAAGATTACTTCATTTAACTCATGGTCCAAGGTGCCCAGAAACTAGGCTCTCATAGTCATTTGAATAAGTTTAAGTTCAAGGTATGAAAGAGTAAGATCACATCTGTAAGTATTTCTAGTTTTGAAGTCATAACTCTTAAGGACAGTAGTGAGAATATTTATCCTGCAACCTACAGCAAAAGAAGGAGTTCAAGTGATTGGTGGACTTTTGAGATTAATGCCGGGAGTCCATTACGTTAGCAATATAGTTACCATTGCTCTTGAGCCATGTATTTTAACTTCCAATTGTTTGTAAATACTGCACAATTTGCTAAGTAGTTTTTAGGATAGAGTGATTTAAATGTGAAAGGTTACAGGTTATTATTTGGTCTTTTTCTATTCCTCCCTGTATTGAACATTTGATTTAATGAAGTTTGGTTCTTTGTTTTTTTTTAAAAAAAAATTGTGAAAGGTTACAGGTTACCTGTTGCAAATGAAGGCAGTCCTGGCACAAGATCAGTGGCATCATTTAGAACTCTTCTAGAATACCTATGACTATCAACTTCATCTAGATCATCAAAATCATCAATGTCATCTACTGTTAACTCTCGAACTTGACTGGTAAGGGATTGGCTTTTTGATAGGGGAGATTGTTCTTCAACTGACATGGAATCAAGGGGCTCTTCAGTTGAAAGAGTTGGTAAAATTGGTAGGGGTGTCGCAACAGGAACAGGTGGAGGTGCCCTCCTCGGAGGTGAACCTGATGATTCAGGATTTGTAGCCAAAAAGAATTCGGTGGTGGCACCTGCATTGTTCTTTAAGAACAAAAGCAATAACAAAAAGAATGGGAAGGATTAAGGGCTATAAAGAAAAATATTAGAATGCAGAGTATCAATAAAGAAAGATTACTAAATGGAGAATCTCAGCTTGCCACACTGGGGATCAATGTACAACCGTAATAATCTCTAATAGCAGAATATCAATAAAGAAAGATTACTAAATGGAGAATCTCAGCTTACCACACTGGGGAACAATGTACTATCATGATAATCTCTAATAGCCTCCGCGAGTTCAAGCATTCCACCTACATTAATAATGAGGCTTTCTATTTCAGTTAAAGAATGTGAATCCAATCCAAATCCTCTCTTAAATCCATCTGATTGAGCAATGTGAACAAAATCTCTAATAAATTCATCTGATCTACATACCTTTCTTAATACAATTGAGAACATAGTCAACGCTGACCTGATCAAGATCCACATCATCCAAAGAAACAGCACCCGGAGGCATTACCACCTTCTTAACTAAGCTACCGGAGAGCATGAAATTCAAAAGCACTCGCCTATCTCGTCTATATCTTTGCACAAGCTCAACCCCGTTCTCCCTGCAAACACACACACATTTCCGACAAATAAGATATGAATACACTTCAATATTCAGAAATTAATTCATCTGACTACTTCAAAATTCATCGATTTCACTTCGAACAGAAATGACAGCAAAGAAACTATCAACTTAGATCTAACGTAAAAGAGAGACGCTTACTCTTCCATGGCGAGCTCAGACAACAATCTTGAGTTTCAGTGGATTGGAACTCGGGAGTGAATTAAGCGGAGCAGAATGTGAAGACTGAATTTGTGTGAATTGAGCTTTGAATCTAATCCAGAGCTTGGGATTTGGGGTTTACTTTACGAGAACTGCCGTGACTGAATAGTTTGAACAGTTTCTCTCTCTTTCTATATACTATATCTAATAGCCTTGCATGATAGATATGGGAGGGGGTAGTTACGTAACTTTGAACCGTAAGGTGAGTTGGCGAAACTCTTGCTAAAGAAAGAGAATGAGAATGACGGCGGCAGAGGGGGAGATTTGCGCGCCGGAGCGGCGAACCCGCAGACTTTTTTGTTTTCTACTTTTCATTTGGGGTTATTTTTGTCATTAAATTAAATGCGTTTTTCCCCCTTTGAATAATAAAAATAATAAGTTTTTTTTCCCATGTAAAAATCACTTGTGACATCATATATAAGATTTTTTAGATTGAAGCAGTGGTTACTAACTTACTAATACAGTAATGAGAAATTATGAAATATGCCCTCAAACTCTCAAAGGCTCAAATTATATATCAAAATATAATCAAACAAATTCAATTAAACAATTAAACTTATTAAAACAATGTAATTAACACATTTTAACATATAATGTTCTGTTATCACTAAGTTATTCGCCAGTAAGATGCCACATAAGTTATTGTTTTCTTTAAAATTATTTTTTTAAATCAAAATTAATATTAAAAGAAAAAAAATCCTATCATATTCATATATGCTAGTCAATCTTTTACTTGGCTTCTTTGTATATGATTTTAGACAAAGAAATATATGACTTATTCGTTCAATTTAATTGATAAGTAATGAAGTACGAGACATATTTTTGAAAAAATAGATTTTTAATAAAATGCCAAAACATAAATGCCACCAAAGCAAAATCAACATGTTAGTTATTGGTATCTTGTAAATAAATGTTAATTGCGAACAAGTTTAAGGGTTCAATTATTTTTTTTCCAAATGTTTAATTACATCTTGGTATATAGTTTGAGTGTCTATTTAACATTTCTGTTTATATTAATTACTCTATCAAAACTCAATAAAGAGTCAAAATAATCAATTAATCTAGACAACTTAATATAATAATGACACATTCTAAAATACATCTTAAATAACTGTTTTAATATAAAGATGTGACATTACTTATTAAAATATTGTTGCTTGATATTATAGTGCCATATTTGAAAACAATGAGGATAACTAAATTCACTTGTGTTTGGTTTTCAAAAAAAAAAAAGAAAAAATCACTTCTATTTGTCCCTTGAGACCTGTCGGTGATGCTCATCTTGCCGAAACTCTTGCCATTAAAGAGGCCCACTTCTTGGTTGAAGAGTGAACAGTAGCAAAAAATTTGCATTCGGTTAGACTACCAATAAGTTTGTCGTATCTTCAATGAGTCTTCTCACGACTTATATTATGTCAATACTGTAATTAGAGATAATTAGTCTATTGCCTATAATTTTCAAGCTTTTGCCATTAAACATATTAATAGATCAGTGAATGTGCTTGTCCATACCCTTGCTCGGACTGCTCATTCGGATACTGATCTTCGTAGCTGGTTTGAAGCCCCCCCCCCCCAGATTGTATTCTTCCTATGATTAATTGATTATGGTTTCTTCAAAAAAAAGTCACTTGTATTCAACTTAACAAATTCATATTATCTATACATTTTAAATGAGCTAATTTCATTATGGTATCACAATTATAGTAATATATTCTGCCTAATAAGCTCAATATTGTTTTTGTTTGTATGTTTTTAATTCACGTTTAGTGTTGTTTATTTGTCATGTGTGGTTTGTGGCTATTACATAAGAGCGTGATTTATCCAATGCATATCATTCTTCTCAAATTTAACCTTTATAATCAATTGAGCTGCTCATACGGACTTACCTAATGTATATCATCGAATAATGGATGCCGGTTCACTTTGTCATTAAAAAAATCATTATGATGAAAAACATGATTAAAATAAACGCACTCCAAAATGAAATAGCATTGATCACCTAGCTAGTGAGTTAAAGATAATATTTAGACCAACAATAATATTTTTAAAATGAGTAATAATACATGTACTTATAATTATTCACTTTTTACTCAATATGTGACATTACATCTTCTAATTGATACACAAATAAAATGTGGGTTATCTAAAAACACAATAAGTATAATCCAAGTTATATTATTGATTTATGTTCGTGTTTTGTATGCTAATAAATGTATACATTTTGTTTTAAATGTTGTACACTTCAATTCTATTGGACAAAATTATTCATATTACATTTTTGTAAGACAAAACTACATTTACACCGTTATAACTCAATTAATATTTAATTATAATATTGGTGACTCCATCATTATTACCATGCATTCATATTTATCATATCTTTTTTATATTATTTAATTATTATCATTTTATTTAAATTATTATATAATTAATTTAATTATTAATTATATTTTAATTAAATTTATATTAATGGTAAATCATGTGTGTGTAATATATATATATATATAATTTGTGTATATATAACTTCAATTATAATTGTACTTATTTATATTTATCAATATTTTAATATTAGGCATGAATTTTCGCAAATTACAAAATACTAGTAGTTCTAATAAAAAGTATGAAATATTTACTCACTTGAAAAATACAATTAACTTTTTTATTTTAATAAATGTTTAATAATTTACAAGAGCGGCCAAATGATGTAATGATTGATAGAAAGTTTTTTTTTTCTTTCTTTCTTTCACAAATTAATGCTAATTATAGACTTTTGTTAACTTATCCACACTATACATACCCTTTTCAATCCATTGATGGCAACTTCTCATTGTAGCTTAATTGTACTTACTTTGCAACAACAACAAAAAAAGTGAAAACAAAAGATGTGTTGAAAACACGAATTATTAAAAAAAAAAGTGTTCAATTATCGTTTTATAAATTTTAAAACACTTATCGAACAATACTAAAAATCAAATGTAATATTTTTTTTTTTTTGTAAAATCAATTAAAAAATAAAAAGGAGGGAAAAATAAAAGAAAAATGTGCAATAGTTGTCACATGTTCAACAAGAACGAACAAGAACGACTTATGATAGTTTTTTTTTTTTTTTTTCAACTTTCTCAATAGTTGTGCATGAACCAAAAGTAGCGATAGCAATATTTTTTTATTTTTTATTTTTCATGACGATAATTTGTCTAAAAAAATTGAAGAAAAAAAAAAACTCAGTAATAGGAATGCCCTAACTCCCCTAAGCAAGGTATATAACTATATGTAGGGACATAGGGTGATCCAATTCCTATTATCCAATGTATGCAAAACAAAGAGGAATATTGCAATTTATAAAGGCCAAAATGTCTGCTAAAGAAAAACTTGAGGGGTAAACTGCATCTATCCTTAAATAGAGGGTGTGAAATGCAATTAACCCGTATTTTGATCCACAACTTAACACATATGGTAGGGTTTAAGGTTTTAGCCGCAGGCGCGAGGTCTGGTAGCTTACTCTGTTTCCCAACTCCAAATGGCAACAGTCGACCCCGAGAATGCTTCGCAGAGCTCAGATATGGAGATGGAGAATGATATAGATGTCGTGGACGAAGAAGACCAGAACTGGGATGATTGGGAAGCCGACGAAGAAGACAACACAGTGAACCCAGAACTGGCTTGCTTGTTCTGCGATTCTCGGCAAAGCTCCGGCCGAGCTCTGTTTCAGCACTGCGCTTCCTCTCATCACTTCGATTTCGAGAAAATCAAGAATGATCTTCACTTGGATTTCTACGGCTGTTTCAAGCTCATCAACTACATTAGGTCTGAGGTGCGTGTAATGGATACAAATTCCCTTTAATATATAATCTTCACTTATATCTTACATAGGTTTCAAAACTTTAATTTTATGAAGTTCAAAATCTATATGCATTGATTTTTGGTGACGATTTGACAAGTTACGAGTTCAACTCCCTTTTTGACGGCGAATTATGCTGTGGAACCGTGTCCACAGTGCAAGGTGTTCTAAAACTGTTCATAATTGTGAATATAGAGTTCTATAATTGTGAATAAGTTCAAAAATTATGATCATAGAGTTCTCTAATTGTGAATATGAAGTTCAAATATTATGAACATAGAGTTTTATAATTATGAACATACAGTTTTATAATTATGAACATAGAACTGTTTCAAGGTGGACATGGTTCCACGGCATAACAATCCCTTTTTGATGGTAGTGGCCTTTTGGGCTTTGGCCTTCTTGTTTGAGCCGGTCAACTATTACAACCTAGGCTTTGGTTCTTGGGGTTTTGCATGTATTGGATGAGTAATTAATGGAGGCTACTATGCTTTCTCTTTGTTAGGTTGCTGAAAATAGATGTTGGAGTTGTCGGGTCACATGTCAGTCAAAGCAAGATCTGCAAAACCATTTACACGAAATGATGCAATATGAAAATAATGCCCTGCCATGGGAGGGGGACACGTATTTGAAGCCTTTCTTGCAGGAGGATGCACTCCTGTACAGTTTTGTTGAAGACGATGAATGTGAAGATGATACTATGTCAGTTGATAACAATGAACTGGCAAGGGAATTGAGTAGTTTTGAACGTATTAAAATTGATGATTATGAACCTGCATTGGAAGAGGATGAATCTAGACTCAGCGGTTGTTGTGAGAATGGAGGAAAGAAGGTGGTTGCATCTACCGCTGGTGGAAGTTGCAGTAATGGAAATTCTTTGGGCAATTCTAAAGTAAAAGCTGTTGATGCCAATGGCTGTAATCTTGCACTTCATAGAAAGGCAGAGGATGAGGGGCAGACTAGTTATTTTTCAGATATTGCAAAACAGAAAATAAAGAATGCAAACAAGAATTATTTTGGTTCATATAGTTCCTTTGGCATCCACAGGGAGATGATCAGTGACAAGGTAAATTTTTTAGAAAAATAAATTTCATTTTATGTGACTTTTGGTAGAAGGAAATGCTAAAAAGAATTTAACTCTATTCCTAGGTTTGGTTTGTGAATGTGGTTTTATTTTATTTTATTTGTATTTTTATGCAGGAAAGAACAGATGCTTATCGGAGAGCAATTGTGGAAAATCCTTCTCTTTTGAGGGGTAGCACTGTTATGGATGTAGGTTGTGGAACTGGCATACTGAGGTGAATAGGCATTTCCTATTCGCTTTATTATTATTATTATTATTATTATTATTATTATTATTATTATTATTTTTCCTAGTTAACTTATTAGCTTTCAACACTTGTTACCCTTTGACTTAACTTCTTCCATCCCAAACTGTCTCATACTTGCTTTGACAAAACTTTTTATTTAGTTTTGACACTTGTAAGTTCAACAGTTGTTAAAAAAAGATTTCTAAAATTGAGATTTTAAGATTTTGAAGCAGTGTAGATCAATGAGTGGTGGTTTTTAGAGAAATGATCAAGAAAGATGGATATCTAAAGGTGTTCTGATAATGATGACTTGTTCTCTAGAATTCACTCATTCCCTAGAATTGCCTCGACATTGATGAATTGTTATGCTTAGGGCTTCTTACACAAATGAAGTGGAAATATTCATTTTGGTAGAGCTCAATTAATAGCTTTTGTAAAATTAGTCCAATTACTAGTTTTTTTTTTTGTTTTTTTTTTTTTTTTGTTTTCCTTTGATTTCTGTGTTTATGCACATAATAAATATTTGTCTCTAATTTTCTGGAGAAGTGAACTAAACTAGCTAACTTCATTATACGTACATATTGGCTCTCTACTCTAGGGATAAAAATGGGTTTTGATTTTTGGCTTTTGCTAGTCTCTTTGCAGCACAAGCTGGAGCATCAAGGGTAATAGCAGTTGAAGCTAGCGAAAAGATGGCTGCAATTGCAACGCAGGTTGGACTTGTTTGTTCTCTGCTTCTCAGTCTTTCCTTTGTGTGTTTTTTTCATTTGCTTTTATTGCCACCGCACCAGTGTCATTCAAATCATAATATAACTGCTTTTTATGGGATTTGAATTTGTGCAGATTGCTAAAGAAAATGGCCTTTTGTGGAATAATAGTCCCACTGGGGTAATTGAAGTGGTTCAAGGGATGGTTGAAGAGCTTGATGGTACCAGAAATATTCAGCCGAACAGTGTTGATGTGTTGCTAAGCGAATGGATGGGCTATTGCCTTCTTTATGAGTCAATGCTAAGCTCTGTGCTTTTGGCACGAGATAAATGGTTGAAACCTGGTGGTGCAATTCTACCAGATACAGCCACAATGGTGAGTCTCTAGTGCTCATATTCCATTCTGTTTAGAGGTAACTACTTTTTTCCCTGCCTGTTACCATAATTCCCGAACAGTTTGTTGCAGGATTCGGAAGAGGTGGTACCGGCATTACATTCTGGGATAATGTGTATGGATTTAACATGTCTTGTATTGGCAATGAGCTAGCTGAAGAGGCTTCTCGTTTTCCCATTGTTGATGTTGTTGATAGTTCTGATGTAGTCACCAGTACGGCAGTCCTTCAGGTTTGTCTTTTGGCGTGGTCTATTGACTTATTGCTTGAAGGAGGTTTCATATCCTTTCCTTCTAGTATACTTTTCCGATGCATAACATTATAACCAGTGTTGCAAAAATCGGGCCTAGGCGCCGATTAGGCCCTAGGCGGTCGCCCACCTAGGCGCCCTAGGTGGTCCCCAGGTGCCTAGAGGGCGCCTAGCAATTTTTTCAACCTTGATTATAACCTTAGCATGTTTCTCCCAGGCATTTGATCTGGTTACTATGAAGACCGAGGAGATGGATTTCACAGCTATAGTTGAATTGGAGCCGAAGGATGGAGCTTCCCTCGGCAGCACTCCCGAGTCCAAGCCTAAGACTACTTGGTGCTATGGACTAGTCTTATGGTTTGAGACTGGATTTACTGGAAGGTTCTGTAAGGAAACGCCGACTAATTTGTCAACGTCCCCATACCAGCCGAAAACCCACTGGTCACAGACCATACTGACCTTCCGGGAACCAGTTGCCATGTCATCAGGAAGGTCATCAAGCTGCGACAAGTCAGAAGCCGTAGGTACCGATGCCTGCCCTGCTGTGCGAATGCAGTCACGCATAAGCATTGCTCGTGGCATTCAGCATCGACGCATTGACATCTCCGCGGAGGTTACAGCATTTGGTCCCGATGGGAGAAAACGAAGTTGGCCAGGTCAACTGTTTAATATATAATGAATGAGTATAAAGCCAAGAACTGAAAAGGGCAGTTCTGTTTTTTTCGAGTGATGAGGGAAACCCGTAGCCCCTACCCGGTGCCCGGGGGTGTGCACTGGGTAAACGGGCAGTTCTGTTTTCACCTTCGGGTAAACTGGCTTGAGGTTTATTGTGTTGGATTACTGCCATTCTATTTAATAGGTCAATTTTGACCATATTTTGAACCTTTTATTTATTGATTCATTAGATACAATCTCTGTCTCTCTGTGGGTAGGTGTTTTGTACCATGATTCATTGACTTATAATTTTAGATGCTAAAGAAAACCAGGAAAAGGAATAGAGTAAAGCAAAAGCAAACCTCAACATACAATATCAATGGGATAAGATGCCCAATCTGGTTTTTAAGGAGAATATGAAAAGAAACTGGAAATGGGAGCAAATTCCATATGATGTGACATTGGCATTTATTCCCTTGATTCATCTAATGACATTTCTCCTCTATTTTATGAAGAATGAAAAAGTATTCACTTTAAAAAGAAGTAATAATAGAATCTCAGAAGTAGATGGTATTATCGAGATTTTAAATCATATATTTTTATGTTTTATATTTTCATCTTTTAATAACACAAGTCTATTTTTTGAGACCACAATTTCAATATAATTTATAGTCTTGGCCAATAATCATCAAAAGAGTTGATCGAGTGTGTGAAGTATGATTCTCATATTTGAATGTCACGAGTTTGATTCTTGTCAACACTTTGTTAGTTAAATAAAAAGAAAAAAACAAAACAAAGCTAAAAAAAACAATGAAGCGTCAATAACGAGTCCGACTGGGTGTTGGGTTGCGTTTCAGCTACCAGGGCGCAAAAATCAGAGTATCTAATGGGTCCTACAAATCTGCCAATAATTCAAGTGCTTGCAGGATTATTTTTTATTATTTTTTTTTCACTCTCTCTCCTCCACATAAGCTTGCTTTACTGAAAACCTACCCAAAACCTATAAATAAGATGCTCTAAATAACTCTCCAACACAAGTTTATTCCAATCTATTCATTTAGTCACAGAAATTCATTTCAATTCTATTCAATCATTCAACGACACATGTGCATTTTTAAAAATTTAATGACACTTCAATTAGACAAAAGAGGGGGAAAAAACAAGAATACATACTAGCTGGTGTATACAGTTGGCACTTGGAATGTATTCGATATGATGCTTTAAAAAAAAAAAAAAACCATTTTTAGCTTTTGAATTTTTATTATTTAATTCTAACTCAAGAATGTGAAAACTCTTTGCTTAAAGTCTAAATCAATCATTAGCCTTAAAAAAAATTTATGCATCAAATAATATGGAGATAATAACTCGATTCTTATCAATATTTTCTTGGTTAATTGAGTCTGTTTAACGGGATCTGGACTCATTGAATCGATCCTATGCATACCAACATTAATATGCATTTGATTTTGCATATCAGAATTGAACCTTATTATAGACACACTAATTTAATGAATTAAACAGTACAATTATTAGTGCTTTGCTTGTTTAGTACTTCAGCATGTGGCTTTATATCAGGTCAGTGATTCCAAGCTGCCCATGCAAGTATCATGCCACCATTCTCCCACTCTCATACATACCTGCTAGATAGCTAGCTAGCTAGCTAGCTTTAGCCTTATATAAAACAGGTAGATCATTGGATTAACTTACCTACTATACACATTTATCAATGGCTTCTTGTTTCTTTCTTTTGCTCACCTTCCTCATCTCATCTACAACTATCTGCATCTCCCTAACCCTGCCTCCCAAGGTAATTTAATATAAGTTAAAGTGCATTTCTAAAGTGTCGATTAGCACCCGTTTGTTGTTGTTGTTGTTGTTTTTTTTTTTTTTTTTTTTTTGAATGACGAGAAAAACTCGCAATCACTGTTTGAGAGTATGCATTAAGTAAATAATCATGTCTTGTAATTTTACCCGACAAAGGGTCACAATGAGATAAACCAGTCTAGATTACTCATAGCTTACCTAAGGCTCAAACCAAGAATGCCAATAGTTGAACTTGAAACCTTATGGTTATCAACTTAACAGCCTGACCAAATTTGGCTAGGATTGCCTCTGTCAAGTGTCTTTTTTTGGTACAAATTGTATTGGATACTGTCAACACTTGTTCTCATAATATATTGTGCAATCAGGCATACTCTGGGCGTTTTTGTATCTAAGTATATAAAGAATTAGTACGATGTTGATAGACACCAAAAATTCCCATAATAATATAATATTTTTTATAATAAAAATAGTTATAGTTTTCATGGTTTAGGATATGTTAGTTTATGTTGTTGGATATGATGCAGCCATACATTGTATACATGGGTGGTCCAGCAAACAACAGTGGATATAATGCTGAAATGTTTTCAGAGTATTCCCATCTCCAGATATTGTCCTCTGTAATACCAAGGTATTCTAGTATTCTATGGTGTAATATATTTTTATGGCATAATATCATATTGTAACAATAGAAATAATCGAATAAAATAATAATTTAATAAAATTTTACGAGATTATTGACACTACATGACGACATTGTAAAAAAAATTGAATTATATTACTTATAATAATATAATACTCTGTAATAGTTATAGATGACATGTAACGATCTAATTAATTGTATCTTTTACTTGTTTTATTCTAATAGAGAGGAGAGTGATCGAGTATCAATTCAACAATCGTACTATCATGCTTTTAGGGGATTTGCTGCCATGCTTACCCGTGAAGAAGCGTATGCTTTATCCTGTATGAATACTATTCCATATTCTCATCAATTTGTTGATCCCTTTTAGTGTTAGAATAACATATTGACCATATTTTTATATTATTTATACTCATTCTTAGCCGAAACATGATACAATGATAAATATTTTAAAAGTTGGCGTTACAATCATGTTCTGTCACGTCAAGTGAGATGATACGAAAATATGTGCATGAAATAAACTTTTTTCTCTTGAAATCATAATATATACAGAGTATTTTGTAATTAACTATTTGATTATCAGGTCATAGTGAAGTGATATCTGTGTTTCCCGATACGACTCTTCAACTCCACACAACTCGGTCTTGGGATTTTTTGGGAATGGAATCCCTTAAATCATCTCACTATTATAAAAATTTGTCAAGTGATATCATTGTTGGAGTGATTGATACAGGTAAAACATAATATATTTAATAAGACATTTATTTACTTTTTTGATTTTTTTTAAAAGTGAAGTAACAAATATTATACACAAAAATACAGGCATATGGCCAGAGTCACCTAGTTTCAATGATGAAGGTATTGGGGAAATTCCTGCAAGGTGGAAAGGAGTTTGTATGGAAGGTTTTGCCTTCACAAAATCAAGCTGTAACAGGTGATCATCCATCATTATTGTTATCAATCTCATCATTATGTTGTAATTTCAATACAAAAGTGCACACAACTTTTGATAAATTACTTGTATCCGTGTTCGCTAAGCATTTATTTATTAAGGTAAACGAATATAAATGAACAAATTTTATACGGAGTATCTCATTAATAAACAAATAAACCGTCTGAACATTTGCTGGTTTATCAATATTTGTTTAGTAAGTATTTGTTTAATAGTATTTATGAATATTAACGAACACATTAACAAACACATACTACTAAATAATTACCAAATAAAAACGAACATACTTTTCAAGAACTTTTACAAACAAACGACTCTAAAAATCTTAGAGGAAAGAAACACAATAAGTTTTTTTCGTTCATATTTTGTTTGTTTAAAACCCTAAATCTGCATCGATCAATTGAACAAGTTGAATTGTGTTCCCGGAAGCTTATACCAACATTGTTAACTTGGCAGCATAATTTTTCATGTTACAGGAAATTAATAGGTGCTAGATTCTACAACAACCTTGAGGAGATTAACAATGAGAAACCAAGTGGTAATGGCAAATCGAAAGCCTCACCGAGAGATTCTGTTGGCCATGGAACTCACACTGCATCAATCGCTGCCGGAGCCGCCGTCGGTAAGGTTTACTCGTGTTTTTACGATACGAATTGTTGTTTTTGATAGTTTAAGTGTTATGGAGATTGATCTGATTGATTGATAGGCAACGCTAATTATTTTGGGCTGGCAAATGGAACCGCGAGGGGAGGGCTAACCTCTGCGAGAATAGCAACCTACAAGGCGTGCGTAGATGGAGGTTGTTCTGGCGCTACTATACTCAAGGCAATCGACGATGCAGTTAAGGATGGAGTCGACGTCATCTCCATTTCGATCGGGATGACTTCTGGATTCCAGACTGACTTCCTGGCCGACCCTATCGCCATTGGAGCCTTCCACGCCGCACAGAGAGGCGTCGCGGTGGTCTGTTCCGCCGGAAACGATGGACCGGATCCCTATACCGTCACCAACACCGCCCCCTGGATCTTCACCGTCGCGGCTTCTACGATCGATCGGAAATTCGAATCCACCGTGGTCCTCGGAAACGAAATGTCTTTTAAGGTACAGCTCGATCTTCAATTCTTCATGCACATAGTTTCAACGTGTAAGTAGTATCGTACTAATGTGATCTTACTGTTCTGTCAGGGAGCCGCCATTAGTTTCTCGCTTTCTAGTCATCCTAATAGCTTCCCTCTCGTGTTTGCGGAAAATGTTGCTAGGGATCCCACCTTAGCTTCCGACGCTAGGTGAATTTATCGCGTTCTTCTCTTCTGCCTACCATGTGTTTGAAAATAGGCCTGAACCATCGCAAGTTTTCTGTTTATGTATTTAGGAACTGTGCTCCGGGAACACTTGACGCAGAGAAAGTCGCCGGAAAAATAATCGTTTGTATGAATAACGTTCTGGGCGTCTCCAGATCAATCAAGAAGCTAGTTGTGGAAGATGCTGGCGCAAAAGGTCTAATTTTAATCGACGACAAAGAAAAGATTAATCCATATGATTCAGGACCATACCCTTTTGCAGAAGTTGGAAATGGTTTTGGTGTTCAGATCTTGAAGTACATTAATTCCACCAAGTAATAAAGACTTCTTATCATGATTAATTTGGTTATTTTACTTTGGCAAAATTGCATTTTTGATCCTCCCGTTATACCGTGGTACACACTTAATCCTTAAGTTATGCGTGACCATTTTTAACTCCCAAGTTATGCAAGAAGTAACGATTTTAGTTCTTCGGAACTATTTCTGCTACCAATATGTTACTTCATAAAGTGACATATTTGATCCTTTAGAGAATAAACTCGCTACTTTACCCATAACTTAGGGGGGTTAAAATGGTTATGCATATAACTTAAGACTAAGCATGTACCACGGATATAACTCGATAACTAAAAATGCAATTTTCTCTTTTACTTATAATATGTTTTTAATGATACTATCTTGAGTATATAGGCACCCAATTGCAACAATATTTCCAGCAAAAGAAGTTCAGAACATCAAGCAGGCTCCAGTAGTTGCAGACTTTTCTTCAAGAGGTCCTGCAGGGCTCACAGAAGACATTCTTAAGGTTTTTACAGCCCTAATTGCTCCTATATTTACAAAACTATATGATATGTTTCATAGCATCCCTATTGTGTTTAACTTATCGGCCCCGACTTCTACTAGACCATGATTAAATTCTAGTTAAGTTTTGGCATACTATGAATAATTATGGTCTTTGTGGATGTTTGTGAATTGTAGCCTGACATAATGGCTCCTGGTGTTGCGATTCTAGCTGCAACGATCCCTTATGTATTATGATACCTTAACTTCCACGAAGACATCTTTCTCCCTTCTAGTAGACCATGATTAAAGTCTAGTTGAGTTTGAGGTTTTGACATATTGTGAATAATTATGGATGTTTGTGAATTGTAGCCTGACATAATGGCTCCTGGTGTTGCGATTCTAGCTGCAACGATCCCTGATGATACCTTAACTTCCACGAGGCCATCGTTCTTCAGCATCACATCCGGGACATCTATGGCCTGCCCACATGTTGCAGGCGCCGTGGCATTCATCAAATCAGTACACCCCGAATGGAGCTCATCAATGATCAAATCTGCAATTATGACAACAGGTATGGTCATAATTTGTGCAGTCCACATAATCTCTCAGAGAAACGGGTTCAATAAAATCCATTCCTACCTGATCGCTTGCCATTTCATTGCATTTCAGCATCAATATCAAGCAACACTGGAAATCCCCTGACAAATTCTTCAAACTTCCAAGCAAATCCACATGAAATGGGTGCTGGGGAGATCAACCCAATCCAAGCTCTTGATCCCGGCTTGGTATTCGAAACCAGAAACAGTGATTACCTCTACTTTCTATGCTATTATGGCTACAAAGAGAAGATCATCAGAGCAATATCCAAGACAACGTTCGAGTGCCCAACCAACGGTACCAGGAAACACATATCAAACATAAATTTCCCTTCAATCTCCATTGGCAAACTAGAAGGTGTCACAACTGTCAAGAGAGTCGCCACCAACGTTGGCCCTGCAAATGCTGCATATGTTTCGTCCATTGTCGCTCCAAAGGGTTTGAAAGTTAGGGTTTCTCCAGAAAGAATTGCTTTTGCTGAAGGGAGGAAGAAGGCCTCTTTTGCAGTCTCATTTGATGGTGGAAATGCCTCGAAAGGTTATAACTTTGGAGCTATACTGTGGTCTGATGGGTCTCATATAGTTCGGTTAGTCTTTGCCGTGAATGTCGAATGATAATTGTTTTGTATATTAGTTGACTTTTCCAAGTTTTTTCTGATAGTGAACTTACCAAACTCCTACTCTGTAATTGACTTAATGTGAATTTAATTAATCTTGTTTATCTAATTACAAAATTCAAATTGTGTAATTGTCTTGAGAAATGATCTTTTGACATGTATGGTCAAAACGTAGGAAGTGCTCATTCTTCAAAGTTTTCACACATAGTAAGTTATACTATTAAAAAAAATTTAACAATGTCATACAAATCAATATATTTTTATAATTGGTAATGTTGCACTTTATTTTTGAGTGACAAGAGAAATCTACATGCTCTGCTTATGTATAATAGTTTACAAATCACACATGAGTCTCGTAAGAGAGATAAACAACATTATAAAGACCATATTAAACGTATGCTTTTTTAATACGAGAATCATGCTTCATTCACTCTCTCATCTCTTTCGAGTAGGTTGCACTTTTTTATAAAAAAAATAATACAATATATGGTATAATTTAATCTTAACTTTTCCCATAAGGTTGAATCCCCAACTCCGAGCCCTCACACCCTGACCCGACAGTCGATAGAGCATTTGAGAGGATGTAAATCGGTCCACTTTGGGCAATCTTCACATTACTGTCGCCAAGATTCAAATATTGATCTTTTTTACCAAATAGTATCTACCGAATCATTGAGCTAAACCCCTACAAACATAATTTAATCTTAACTTTATCATGTGGGTGTGAAAACGTGATTTTATTGAAGTGGGAAATGGAGTGCATGATATTTTGGTTGCACTCCAAAAAATATCCAAAGGCACATAGCATGTTCTGTGGTCGACCGTTACCTATAATGATTTACTTCCCACGTTATTTTCATTCATTAAAAAGAAACAACAAAAAAAGAGAGATCCAAATATTGGGTAATCATATTCCCTAATATCTCATACGATTCGAAAACAAGATTTATTTATAGTAAAAAAGTAAAATCATACGGAGTATAAATAATTGTAAATTCTTGCTGCAAAATCTCTCAACCTACTCTTCCCCACTGCTCCGTGTCTAGATCAATCACCCAACCAGAGACTGAGAGAGAGAGAGTTAATGTATGTGTTTTTATGAAGGGTTTCTGTTGGGTTTTATGTGTGTGTGCGTGTTTTTTTTTTCTTAATTTCTTCTACGTTTAACGTTGTTGATGATATTGTGTGTGATGTTCATAGGCGGAGGAAGCTTAAAGCGAGGAAATCTGATGTACTTGCTTCTGAATCTTTGCTACATTCAGCAACACCATGATGGAATTAGAACATAAAGGTATGAACTTTTTCTTTGTTCTTCATTTTTTTTTTTTTTTTTTTTTTAATAAATAAATAAATTTTCATATTCTGAGTTCTGTACCCAATAGCTTATTCTGAGTGTTGTTAATTCAAATTTGGTGTATTGACAAGTAGGTTTGAATCTTATGCACTTGATTGTTTTTGAGCAATGAATTTCTGGGAAGTACTTGTTCTGGCATGTGGTTTGTTGATTCTTTGAGTAGGCATCAAGAGAGAAGTGAATGGTGGATTGAATAAAGGTACAATTTGCATGTATCATAATGGGAATTTCATTCTATTTTATGACCATTGTGGATGAAAAACTTCGGGATTTGAATTTAAAAAGGAGAGTAGGGTCCTAGCCTCCTAGGAATCGATTTCTCGGGTAGGGATGTTGGTGTGAATTGGATGGGGTTAAGAATGCATATCCGGGAATTGGACATTCCAAATGTTGGGATGGGATTGATGAGTGGAGTAAGAGTCGGTTCCTCTGGGCTAACTAGTTGCATCAATGACCGGCTAATGGGTGAAGAATGGATCTTTTCCCTTATACAATCACATAGAGCTCGTATTGGTGATTTGTCTCGGTTCTTTCACCATTTTGTGTTAGGATTTGTTCACATAAAGTAACTAGTACGATCATGTCACAAGTCATAAGCACACGCATTGAGAGTCTAAATTAGGGCATTAGACGGATATAGCAAATGTATAAAATATTCTCTAGAAATAATTACGGTTGCAATTTCAGTTCTAAATTGGTTTCCTAATGAGGCAGTTAGCCTAGATTCCAATGTCCTTCATTAGCCTCATTAACTTTGGATAACCGTCTTCTTTTCTCCTTTGTGTATATATGTTTAGTCTATTGGTAAAAAAATCCAAGCCTTTACTGCGGTAATTTTACTCAATTTTTTAATTTGGTCTAAAGAAGATCCAACTTGGCGCAATCCAATTGATGTGTCGATGAGTTGTGTAAATCATCAAGCAATTACATGTCACCATCCACATAAGCCTCTGAGGCAACATTCAACATCAATATATTTTCTTTTGTCTCGGGAACTAAATGGCCATCCCTCTCCTTGGTACCAAATTACACTGGAGGGTATAAAACTTAATTCTGTAGGAAAGTTAAATGAATTATGCCAAGGCAAAAATTAAATAATAAAGACGCCTTATGGAGTTGCACATATCACTTAATGCGCTTCATTGTGATATGTGTAGCTCCATTTTCACAATCTTCATTATATAATTTTTTCTTTGGCATAACTCATTTAACTCTCTTACGGGATGAACTCTTACCTTCTCGTGTAATTTGGTGACGAGGAGAAAGATGATCATTTAGTTTCTCAAGAAAAAGAAAATATGTTTAGGTTGCATGTCCACCTCAAAGGTTTTTGATGATTTATATGCCATTGGCACATCAGTGAAGTTGGGTTGGATCTTCTTTGAATTAGGTTAAAAAACTGAGAATTGCACCAATGTTTTAACTTTTGGTACAAATTACCAAATCTAAAAGGTTTGGTTATAATTATCATAACTAGTAAAGGTTTTGGATAATTTACCAATATGCCTGTATATATATATTTTTATTTTTTTCTTTTCTTTTCGTAGTTTAGTTTTCATTGTTTGAATACTTTGAATCCCCTCTTTGCTAAAGTGAAAAGTCTGGTGCTTTTATTTTTATTTATTTAGGTTTTTATGTCAAATTGTGATATACTTTACAATGAGAGTTTTTCAACATTCCATTTTGTCAGTTGGATGTATAAATCCCTCGTGCTTTTGTTCTCTATTGAGAAGTCCACAGATTAGTAGGATTATCGTAGATGACGGGATGTGTATTTTAGCTGCAATGTTGAACTTCCTAACATTCTATAGATGCTGATAAGCTTTCGAACTTTCTGGGAATTGTAATGACGGGCTTTGTTGTGACTGCAAAAATGGAGAAAGAAAACGCATACATCTCATTCAAGTAGTTTGTCTTGATCATTACAGAGTACTATTTCTGTTTAAAGTGCTTTTTGGTGCATTCAATAAAAAAAGGGTGTTATACCAACATTATGGTTTGGCCGGATGATACTATTTGGGTGTTAATGCCTAATTGGGCCGGCCCGGTACGAACGGGGATTAGTCTGAGTATGGTACAGGCTTAAAGGTGCCTCCTACAGTTAGGGCCTGCTCAGGACACCTCGTGGTCTGACAAAAAAAAATACCTCGTGTATAGAAGAACTTGTGACATGACTTGAAATTTTAAGCTCCGGACCTCTCGTTGCATCGTTTAAAAAAAAAAAAAAAAAACTTTTTGACTATAGTATTTGATTTGATTCGTGCTGCTATAGCTTTCTGCATTGAGTACCCGTTATAGTGTTGATAATTTGTCGATTACTAATAAGTTTTATAGCACAGATACCGTGCAGGCGAACTGTGAGGCGCCCGGAAGATGCCTCCACAGCACAGGGTATTTTCACGATCTGCAATACAGTATGGGTGCTTTCAAAGGCTTTCCGGAGCTTAATGAAGGCAACAATGTTCATCCTAGCGGGGATACTATTGAACCGGACTCCTCAAATGGCAGTGAACATATTGACTCGTCTAACGAATCTCCAAAAAAGCCCGTCCAGAATAACGCTTTTGGCTCTTGGTCTGCCTTTTACCCCGACTCGAATAATATGCATCTTTTCACAACGAATGCTTTCGAGGCCCAATTCCATCCTTATGCAGTGGACAACCAATTCCATTACGCTCCATTCAACGTGTTCTATCAACAATACCCTCGGGAATTTCAATTCCAAGACTTCCAATATTTCGTGGTCATCGACTTCGAGGCTACCTGCAACAAGGAAAAGAATCCTCATCCCCAAGAAATAATCGAGTTTCCGTCTGTAATTGTTAGTAGCATGAGCGGGCAGCTAGAAGCTTGTTTTCAAACATATGTGCGGCCAACATGCAATCAGCTCCTCAGTGATTTCTGCAAGGATCTGACTGGCATCGAGCAAATCCAGGTCGGTTTTAAGTTTAAGATCCACTAAAACTTAATCTGATACGCCAAATGATAAAAGTACTATAGTTTATTGACCATAAAAGCATGATGACCACTTTTGTGTAATGCCCGGGAATGCTGTGAAATAACTATTTAGCTTCTGACGAGGTGTATTGAGTTCAGTTTTCTGAACTATCGGCCTGTATATTCAGGTGGACCGAGGGGTTACTCTGACTGAAGCGCTCCTTAGGCATGACAAGTGGCTCGAGAAAAAAGGGATAAAAAATTCCAACTTTGCTGTGGTTACATGGTCGAATTGGGATTGCAGAGTGATTTTGGAATCAGAATGTCGGTACAAGAAGATCAGAAAGCCGCCTTATTTCAACAGGTTAGTTTAGAGCTCCGTTTTGCAATCTGGATTTGTTATAACCACTGTTGCAAAAATCGGTCTAGGCGCTAGGCGCCCGTAGACCGTGGCGATTTCTCCCCTAGGCGTCCGCCTAGCGCCTAACTGGGCCGAGTTAACTCTTCCATTTCGGTCGAGTTAACCCGGTCGACTCAGCCTTGTTACTTTTTTTTCATTATATATATATATATATATATATATATATATATAGATTTTGGTTCATGGGAGAACAGGTCTTCCCGTGCGGTCAGTGCGGCATACACCATTAGGTATGCATAAATGCACCATACAGTTTTCGAGAATACACCAGAATGAAATGTCAAAAAATGCACCACACAAAAAAAAATACACCACACATAATGGTGTATTTTCAAACACTGTGTGGTGCATTTATGCATATCTAATGGTGTATGCCGCACGGGAAGACATGTTCTCA